ATAGGGAAAGGGGTAGAAAGAGAAGTGGGCTGTACCTTTGTCCGAAATGAATTTCAGATCTGGTCAACATTCTTTTCCATTTTTTTTTTTTTTGTAATTGCTTTGTTAGTTAATATTTATTTAAATAGCATAAAAAAATCTAATATTAAATCAACCGCTCAAAATCTCAAAGGAATATATGGTTGGTTGGATCTCGATGATCTAAAACATGGAAAACGCTTCTCCCGTTGATTTTAGGGTATTGATTCGAAGCGAAACGACGCCGTTTCCGAGGAGAACGATAACCGGATGTAATTTCCGGTTCGGTCTGATGTCCGCCGGCTAGCTATATTTGCTCCGGTTTGATTACAGATTTTGTCTACTCCCCCTTCGACCCACAGTTCGACGAAATCAATGAATTCGATGCCTCAAGGCCCTCAACGATTCTCAGTCATCTTCCTCACCCTACGGCGAGCCCAGATAGTTGGTTTCCAGTTCGGACGAAAATGCTGAGAAAACTGCTAACACAAGCGCCCACTCGCCGTTTCCTCTCTTCGGCGACTCCTTTCTTCCAAAAATCTTCCCTTTTCCCGTTTTCTTCTTCGCCGGAGTCTCCCCTCCCGGATAATAGTCCCGGAGAACATGCCGACGACGGACCTTCCGCCTCCGGAACAACCATTTCCGTTGACCGTTCAGGTCTCTTCAATCCTCCTGGTACGTTTCCGACCTTTGCATAGATTTTATGAAGTGGGATGTCTGTTTCATGTGATCGGAATTGAGTTTTACTGATTCGGGTCTGATCGTTTTGCTTGTGTTTGGAAATCTAGAGCATTCCCATGAACCCTTTCCGGATTCGGAACTCGTCAAGCACCTCAAGAGCATTATCAAGGTATTACCCTTCAGGCACTTGGCCTTTTAATCTGAAAGTCTCGAACTTTTTGTTGGTCTCGTGATTAGAAACATGTATCGGTGCAAGATTTTCACTGATTTTGAGGGTTTTATTTATCAATAAGTGCAGAATTTGATAGATTTATCAATGGTTTTGTTAGTTTCGGGGTGGTCCAATCTCAGTGGCAGAGTACATGGAGGAAGTCTTGACTAACCCTAAGGCTGGATTCTACATCAATCGTGATGTATTCGGAGCACAAGGTGATTTCATTACTTCTCCGGAAGTAAGCCAGATGTTTGGAGAGGTGATTGCATTTTCATTTCTGGTTTTGGTGTTTGAATACTTGTGCTTTGCACTGAAGGTGTGTCTTTTCGGGTTCGTATCATATCTAGTTTTATTATTCAATGCTGAAAATTGATCTATCTTTCGTGGTGTTTTGGTCTCAGATGGTTGGTGTTTGGGCCATGTGTCTGTGGCAGCAGATGGGACAGCCTGAGAAGGTGAATCTCATCGAACTAGGTCCAGGTCGAGGAACACTCATGGCTGATCTCCTCCGTGTATGAATTTTGCTGTTATGCTATGTTTTTCAGATTTCTAATTTTGTCTCGAGTACTGAAAGATTTCTCACTCACTGCTTTCTCATGTGACTTTTCCCTTGTAGGGTACATCAAAGTTCAAAACTTTCACCGAATCATTGCATATACATTTGGTGGAATGTAGTCCCACACTACAGAAGCTTCAGCACCAGGCCCTGAAATGCACGGATGAAGATGGGTGTTCCGAGAAGAAAGCTATTAGCTCATTCACTGGAATGCCTGTATCCTGGCATGCCACACTTGAGGAAGTTCCATCAGGAGGTATGCGCCTTTTTGCCACATTTATTCCGAGACTTTACTGGATAATCATTTAGGCGGTAATATCTATAAAGTTGACCGAAATGCAATATGCTAAATATGTTTAGTTCCAGGGACCCTGATATTTTTCATCTTTTCTCCTGATATCCTGTTTTTTTTTTATTGCTTATTGCTTATTTGGCAGTACCGACGATAATAATAGCTCATGAGTTCTATGATGCTCTTCCAGTTCATCAATTCCAGGTTAGTCACATTCATGTTTCACCTTTATGTGGAGGGGAAAAATTGCTATACGCTGTCTTTTATTGCCAGCTAGTTTATGTATCTTATTAGATTAAAACTTTGCAGAAATCTTCGCGTGGCTGGTGCGAGAAAATGATTGATGTTGGAGAAAATTCACAGTAAGAGTTCGGATATTTTTACCCTGGCAGATTTGTAAAACCATGCACATTTGATTGATAAGTTGTTGGTTTAGGTTTCGTTTCGTTCTGTCCCCACAGCCTACACCTGCAGCCCTGTATCTCATGAAACGTTGCACGTGGGCTGCACCTGAAGAAATCAAGAAACTTGAACACGTCGAGATCAGCCCAAAATCTGTGGATTTGACCCAAGCAATTGCCAAGAGGATAGGCTCGGATGGAGGGGGAGCACTCATAATTGATTACGGGCTGAATGGATTAGTTTCAGACAGTCTTCAGGTTGATGCCCTAAAACTGTTCTGAATGTGAATCTGTCTGGCTGCTTATGAGCTTTATTTTTCATTTTTGCATCGCGGGTCATGACCCAACCATGAGTTTTCTTACCGTTCTCGCAAATAATGTTTTGTAGGCTATACGAAAACACAAGTTTGTGGATATACTGGATGATCCCGGGTCAGCAGATCTAAGTGCCTATGTCGATTTTCCTGCTATAAAGCATTCTGCTGAGGAAGCTTCAGGTTGGTTTCTAATGGCTTTCTGCCAGAAGGCTTTAGTACTTGTGGCCCTTATCATACAGTTCTAGTAACTGCAGACAACCGGAGACAATCATCAGGCTTTGTTTTTTGTTGTGTGATATATATACATCCTATTCAAAGTTGCCATATTTATATGGGTTTGGTTTAACTTTAGAGAGACAGCTACATGGTACATCTGTTTTTGTGCACTGAAGCCCTAAACCCTAAACTAATTCAAAATCACACAGGTTAAAAATCTGTGTGACTTAGAGACACACCTTACTGATCAAGTCCAAAACCTTGTGGTTTCTGCAGAAAATGTCTCGGTCCATGGACCCATGACTCAGTCACAGTTCCTGGGTTCTCTTGGAATAAACTTCCGAGTCGAAGCATTGCTGCAGAATTGTGACGACGAGCAAGCTGAGTCGCTCAGAACGGGGTACTGGCGTCTGGTTGGAGATGGTGAAGCTCCATTCTGGGAAGGACCCGATGAACAAGCCCCCATTGGTATGGGCACGAGGTATCTCGCCATGGCTATCGTTAACAAGAACCAAGGAGTTCCTGTCCCATTTCCGTGAAAGATCCAAACTTTCTGTAAGGTTTTCGAATGAATAAGCTTTATAGTTTCTAGGAAAACCGGGTGGGGTTCTATTTCGATAGTAAGCATTTCGCAAGTTAATGCAATTTTGTAACAATTGTTTTTTTAGCTTCATATGCTCATTACATGATCTTGTATCATCTCTGGAAGACTTAATACAATAGCACTGTTTAACTCCATTGGAAGAGCTTGGGTGCATCACCACTTTGGTTTGACAAATGAAACGACATGATGTGCTTCTGGATAATCCGAAAACGGCATAACGTTTAGAAAGGTTCGGACGTTTTTCTTTCTTTTGTCTGGTCAGACATCGTGCCGTTTTTTTAACTGGCCGTTCATCATTATTTTATTAAACCGCTAATCCTGTGTTCGTTGGGAAAATCACCTGAATAACCCACTTTGGATCGTATCTATTTCAGTGTATACCACCGAAAAAAAAAAAAAATTTCAATTTTAACCGAAAAGTCCGAAATACCCTTTTCGTTTTATTTTTTGCGACCTTATTACGACTAACTGATATACAATTAAAATAAGATAGATGATTTTTTTGCCACCTTTTTTAGAATCAATTGTAACTATATTTAGATTTAATTACGAAGTCGTAATAACGAAGTTGTTTTCGAACGGATAAATATCGTAATTTAGTAAAGGTAATTTTGTCTTTTCACAGAAAAAAAATGTGTTATGTTTTCGGTGGTGTACTGGTGAAATAGATGCGACCATCTGGGTAAAAAAAACCCGTGTTCCTTGCGTCCCTTGAATCGTAAGGGGTGATGAGTCTGAGTCTCCTGTCTGGTCACGGAGGTTTCCAGCAATCATGGAAGAGCTTAATCGCGGCGGCTGAGCGCTGCGTCACCGTGAGACAGATCAAGGAGGCCCATGCGGTGTTCATCGCTCACGGCGTTCACCGGAACACGTACGCGATTAGCAAACTTCTCACAGCCTTTGTACCTCTCTCGAATGTGGACAAACACCTTCCTTACGTTTCCCTTGTTTTCCACTCAATTGAAACTCGGAATTCGTTTGTTTATGATACTATGATCAGAATCAGTTCTCGTAGCTCTCATCCTCATCTGGGTATCCGATTTTTCCGTCTGATGTTGGAGGAAGATGGAGATTTTGTAGCTCCCAGTAATCTCACGTTTCATTGGGTTTTGGTTTCTTGCCTGAGCTCGTGTTTGTTCTCTACGGGTAGGCAGATTCACTGTTGTGTGATAAAGAATGGCATACTGGCTTCGGATGGTCATGTTCAGACGGGAGTCTTGCGGCTCTATGCAGAAGATAAGGAGTTGCGAGAGGCACGCAAAGTGTTCGATGAAATTCCTTACCGAGATGTTGTCAAGTGGGATGTTCTAATGAACGGATATGTAAGATGTGGTTTGGCTTCCGAGGGTTTACGGGTCTTCAGAGAGATGCTGGTTTCAGGGACGGAGCCCGACAAATTCTGTGTTACCACCGCGCTAAAAGTCTGTGCACAAGCTGGGGCTCTTGCTCAAGGAAAGTGGATTCATGATTTAGTGAAGAGGAAGAAAGGATTTGAAACCGATGTATTTATAGGAACGGCACTAGTTGATATGTATGCCAAGTGTGGTTGCATAGAGATGGCAGTGGAAGTCTTCAAGAAGTTGAGTAAAAGGAACGTCTTTTCTTGGGCAGCCATGATTGGAGGATATGCAGTTTACGGGTATGCGAGAAAAGCGATCATGTGTTTAGAGCGAATGGAAAAAGAAGATGCTATTAAGCCCGATGGGGTAGTACTTCTTGGGGTCTTAGGTGCCTGTGCCCATGGAGGACTTCTAGAGGAAGGCAGATCACTGTTAAATAATATGGAAGCTCGATATGGAATTACTCCCAAGCATGAACATTACAGCAGTATAGTAGATCTGATGTGCAGAGCTGGACAGTTAAATGAAGCGTTTGATCTTATAGAAAGAATGCCCATGACACCGCTTGCATCTGTATGGGGTGCTCTACTAAATGGTTGTCGTACACACAAGAATGTTGAACTTGCCGAAATAGCTGTTAAGAATCTTCTCGATCTAGAGAAAGGAAACGCTGATGAAGAGGAAGCAGCTCTTGTTCAACTGTCTAATATCTACTTCAGTGTCCAAAGAAGTGAAGAGGCATCTAAGATTCGTCGGATGATAGGTCAGAAGGGCATAAAGAAGGCACCAGGATGCAGTGTGTTAGAGGTTGATGGAAATGTAAATGAGTTTGTGTCGGGAGATGGTTCACACCCAAATCTGCTGCAAATTCACACAATGCTTCAGCTGCTATCTGTTGATTCCTTACAGAAACTGTAGCCAGCATGTCTTATGTATGCTACTGCATTGTTCTCAGAGATTTAACGCGGTTTGTCTGTTGAACATAACTGTAGAATCCATTCTTGAAGTGGCTAATCTATCTGAGGAGACTCTCGAGCTATATTTTCTCAAAGAAGGAAGTTTCTGTTCAACACCTGTAACCCACAAAAGACACTCGAAGGTTCTGCCAGAATGCTAAAAGGGAGTACCTATGGAGGCAAGTTTCTGACCCCCGAAACAAGAATGGGAAAATTAAAGGAAGAATTCAACAAATGGAGGAATCTCCCAAAAGGGGCCATGGGAGTGGCATTGTTGTCCCTTTTTATACATCGATAGATTCTCAGTGAATATAGTAAGTTTCTCCATAGCACATAATAATGCTAAGCTTAGTTATTTGATCATCTTAGTGCGGAGCTAGCAAACCTCAGTTGGAGATTTGAGAGAGAATCCTTTTGGCGAACAGAGTTCCTCATGGTTCTGGAGCTCTCTTCTTTTTGCTCTCCAAAATATCAACATCCCAGAGAACCCAGTCTTGGTGTGGCTCCTACGTGGAAGTATCATGTGTGACGGAGTTCCTCTGTGGCGGCAATCCTCCGATGGCTCGAAGGTGCTGTCCATACCTATTGAATTGCAATTCGTAGATCATTTTATGTAAAATGTTCAATCACAGGACAAAGAATTGTCTGAATAATCTCTGAACTTTTCAGGAACACTACAAGAGATTTTACAAGAGCTGGCTGGACCTTGTCTCTTGAGCCGGAGTTGGACACCTTCCTTGATGGGTTTCCACTCATTGGATGAGCCGAGTCTCCTCGGCGGCGGCATCTGAAGGACCTTCTTGCTCGTCGTGCCAAGGAGCAATGGCATGTTCGAGGCTGTGAGGTACTTACCAAAGCAGCTCTTGAGCCCATGGGATAATGTTCTTCTTCTCCACGATCCATAAGGTTTTAGTGTTTAGGGTTCAATACCCTTCATCATCCCCTGCCGAAAGGTACTTGTCATGGTGGCTACACAAACGCACTGTCATGGCCTTTCTGAAAAATCTCCGTTTCTGCTTCTGTCATGTCCAAAACGCAGAACTTTCAACTAAGACATCACAGAAGAATCCGTACAGAGGATTCATTGGAGCAAATATATTGCAGACAACAGCAGAAATCAAGTTGTATGAATCTAAATCTTTATGATCTCTCACGTGAAATCTTGAGAATTCACATCTGAATTCATAATGGAGATGCGGAGAGAGATTCATGAGTTCCTCAAGTGTCTTTTTTGTAATCTTTGAAGCTTAATTTGATTTCGACAAGAGAAAAGACAAGGGGTTTCTTTCTTCCTAATTGTGGTAATAAGATATCATGGAATTAGCCTATAAGCATATTTATACATTGCGTATATATATACACACACACATGACACATTTACATTAATGGAAGAAAGAACAAGCATTTATACATTATCTAGGCTCAAGTAGATATTTCAATTGTGTCTGCGATGGTAGTAGACATTGTTTCATCATCTCCTCCTCCTCTTCCGCCATTGCCCTTTGTCGGACCTCATCATATTTACATCTTCATACCCTTCTCGAACCCTAGAACCAGGAAGCGCAATACCCATCTCCTTCTCCACTCTGTCTCTGCTTCGTCTTCACCATCCTCACCAACCAAAGGTGCATGGAGAAGAACGCCGGAGAAGGCGACGCCGTCGTTTCAGGGGTTCCCGAGACGTCGGAGGTACCAAAGGTCTGTCCTTTCCGATCACAGCGTCGACATGGACGAGCTTCTGGCTTCGATAGACCAGACCCAGAACGAGGAAGAGCTCTATTCCGTACTTTCTCCCTACAAGGACAGACAATTGTCCATACGGTTTATGGTTTCTCTCCTTTCCCGCGAAAAGGACTGGCAGAGATCTCTGGCATTGCTCGATTGGATTCTCGAGGAAGCCAAGTACACGCCCTCTGTTTTCGCCTACAATGTCGTTCTCCGCAATGTCCTCCGGGATAAGCAGTTTGACATTGCGCACGGACTGTTCGACGAAATGCGCCAGAGAGCTCTTGCTCCTGATAAGTACACTTACTCTACACTGATCACGTCATTTGGCAAGGAGGGTATGTTCGATTCGGCTCTTTCTTGGCTTCAAAAGATGGAACAGGACCGCGTTCCTGGTGATCTTGTGTTGTACAGCAACTTGATCGAGCTTTCGAGGAGGTTGTGTGATTACTCCAAGGCTATTTCGATCTTTTCGAGGTTAAAGAGGTCTGGTATCACGCCTGATATTGTTGCATATAACTCGATGATCAATGTGTATGCTAAGGCCAAGCTGTTTAGAGAGGCACGGTTGCTTATTAAGGAGATGAATGAAGCTGGTATCTCGCCCAATACTGTTAGTTACTCCACCTTATTGAGCATGTATGTTGAGAACCAGAAGTTCTTGGAAGGTTTATCTGTTTTTGCAGAGATGAAGGAGGTGAATTGCCCGCTTGATCTAACCACTTGCAATATAATGATCGATGTTTATGGTCAGCTTGATATGGTAAAAGAAGCCGATAGATTGTTTTGGAGTATGAAGAAAATGGGCATCGAGCCAAACGTTGTTAGCTATAATACCATCTTGAGGGTATATGGCGAGGCTGAGCTTTTCGGTGAAGCCATTCATCTTTTCAGGTTGATGCAGAGGAAAGACATTGAACAGAATGTGGTTACTTTTAACACGATGATTAAGATCTATGGGAAATCTCTCGAGCATGAAAAAGCAACGAATCTTGTGCAAGAGATGCAGAGCCGAGGAGTTGAACCTAACGCCATTACATACTCGACTATTATATCGATCTGGGGCAAGGCAGGGAAATTGGACCGAGCTGCGCTGCTCTTTCAGAAGTTGAGAAGCTCGGGAGTGGAGATCGATCAAGTTCTTTATCAAACAATGATTGTGGCTTACGAAAGGGTTGGTCTAGTGGGTCATGCTAAACGCCTGCTACTGGAGTTAAAGCGCCCGGATAATATCCCTAGGGAAACAGCTATTACCATTCTTGCCAAAGCTGGTAGGATCGAAGAGGCAACATGGGTTTTCCGTCAGGCTATTGATTCTGGCGAGGTAAAAGACATATCGGTTTTCTGCTGTCTGATCGATCTCTACTCCAGGAACCAAAAATATGCTAATGTCATGGAGGTATTCGAGAAGATGAGAGAAGCTGGTTATTTCCCCGATTCCAATTCAATAGCTCTAGTCTTGAATGCATACGGGAAACGACGTGAGTTTGAGAAGGCGGATGCGGTTTATAGAGAAATGCAAGAGGAAGGATGTGTGTTCCCAGATGAAGTTCATTTCCAGATGTTGAGTATATATGCTGCAAAGAAAGACTTCGACATGGTGGAGAAGCTGTTCGAGAGATTAGATTCTGATCTCAACGTCAACAAGAAAGAGTTGCATCTTGTCACTGCTGGGCTTTACGAAAGAGCCAACAGACTAAACGATGCTTCGAGGATCATGAACCAAATGCGAGAACGTGGAATTCTGAAGCCGTTTTCCGACGATACATATCTGAATAAACGTGTCTGAATACTCTGTAATGCAGACTTCCTGTGTATCTGCAGTTTCTGTAATGTGTGTATATGTAAAGTCAAAAGCTTCAATGCATTCCAGTCTGATACTAACTTCATACATTAAGACAAAATAATCTTGACTTCAAGATTACAGTTTGGATTAAAACTCCCTAAAATTCGTTGAAAGTTTTCAGTTTTCAAGTTCCCAGATGTCTGGAAATGGATCTGTTTGGGGGGTTCCATTTGAACCTTTTCCTCGATCACTGAAATGGGTTTTCCCTAAAGTTCCGAATCCTTTGGAAAAGTTCCAAACTTTGTCTCTGAGAGTTCACTGAAATGACCTTACAGAACGTTTGGTTTGGTCTCTGCCATGGAGAAAGACCAAAAAGGGGAAGAACAAGAAAAATTTGTAGAAACATGGTAAAGGCATATTTTAAATAATACATTGATTTCTTAGATAATATATAGTTTTGAAAATAAAAAAATGCGTTTTTATGCATAACTATGACCCCAATTCGAAGGACAAAACGTGACGACGTACTCTTTGGCAAAGCAAGTCACCAAAGGAGGAGGAGTGTCGTAAGCGTAGCTGTAGTAATTCGGACAAGCTTCCTTGAACATCGTCGAGTAAGTGTTCGGTCTGCATTTCTCCGGCGTTCCGTACGAATTCCGGCAACAGAATCTATCGTTATCGAACGCCAAACACGCGCTCTTGCATGCCACGACCTTGCCCTCCTTGTTCAACACCTAGTCAATGACAGGAGAATCAAAATTATAAAAAAAAAAAGACACAGATTGAATTCGGATTAATTTCAACGTTCCAAAAAAAACGAGTTAGAGCGAGTGAACTCACCTCGAGTTCATCAGGGCACGTGCCCTTGAGATCTTTCTGGCAACCGGAGATTGTGCATTTGGATGACACCGGTTTCGAATTCACAGCGACCGGAATGTTATATCCATCCACGAGGCTCACGTCATAGAAATTAGGTTTGGATCTATCGGACTGAACCGCCAGTTGGATTAGAGTCACCGGAGGTTTCCCGATCATTCCATTACACTCTAAACGTCCATCACAATCGCCTGTAACCATTCATATTACAATTACATATCAATGTATTATCTAATGAACCCTAGAATTATTTTAGCTCCTCATACCCCATCCAGTTCAATCTGAAAACGAAGATGTTATAACCCTAGAAAGAAAAAATTATCATATGGACCACCTGTTTCACAAGCCTGGTTCCAGTTGGAGTCGAAGTTGCAGCCGGTTCGGGCCCACAGCCGGCCGTTCCAGCCCCAAGGGATGTCGATACGTCTCGAGTCCCCGCAAGGGAGGAAAAATCCTCCGGAAGCCAACACGGGGTGGCCGGAGTTGGGGGCAATCGCCGGCCAAATCGGGAATGGACATCTGTTATGAACATAAAACGTTACTTCATGACTCGCTACTTTCCCTGCGTCATCATAGTTCATAAAACGTTACCTCATGGCATCATTACATGATAATATAAGATCGAATGATAAAGAAAAAAGGGTATCATATTATATATATATACACACACACACATACCATATAACATACAACTCGATATTATGAGAAGATGTAACCAGACGGCGACGTCTGCATGGAAATTCATGTTGGAAACTAGGGTTTATGATTTGATTTTCCTGATGAACTTGAGGTATTTATAAAGTGAGAAAACGTGATGTATTTTTTTTTTCCGTTTCCAATCTTAGATTATGCTTGAAGGATAGGATTAGTAGTGTGTTTTCTTTCAAGGTAAGAGACCAAATGTAGTTTTTTTTAATGGTAAACATTGTTTCTTGCAACAAAATCAAGAATTTTCAGGCGTGCAAATTTGATAATTACGCATTCGGAATAATATATACATATATGTCTGTATGTATATGATTTTTATATTATATTCTCAGAAAATATTTGTGTAATGCTATTGTGTAAATATAAGGTTTGGTTTTGTAACTTTTTTCTGTTATTCATGCTTGACAACTTTCAGGTGAAAATATGCTGGCATTTGAGTTTGGATATCCGTGTATAGGGGTGATCAATATTTCGGGTTTGATTCAGTTATATTCGAGTTCGGCTATTTCGATTATAAGAAAACTATAATCATTTTGTTTTATATAAACTTTGGTTCGGTTCAAATTCGTTTTTTACTGTAAAAAAATTATTTTTTCAAAAAAATTATTGGATGTTTCGGTTATTTTTTAATCTGTTCCATTTCATTTTTTTTTTCAGTTTAATAAAATTATAACCGTTGGATTTTTATATTTTCGATTTTGATTTGATTACATTTATATCTTATATTTATATTTGCTTCGATTTACCTATTCTATTAATAACCCAATTGGACACCCTATCCGTGTATCCAAATATTTCTTTGCCTAAACACTGTAATACATGTAAGTGTAACTGTGTCGATAGTATAGAATAAGATGGGCCAGTACGAGTTAAATCATAGGCCCAATAAGAACTGTTAATGGGCCTAAAAGTGGGCGACACGTTTTTATAGAAAGCTTACAAATTTTATTCTCTTTAATGGCGGCAAAATAGTGTTTTCATTGACCAAAAGGTTTGCAGAATTCCATCACTACACAATCTAATACATTAAATGCATTTCATTTTCTGCCCCAATTTAATGACTTGTTATTTAACGGAAGATTTTTTTTTTTTAAATCTTTGCATAGACGTTCATCATTAGTATGTATCCAAAATCCAAATATTTTTTACATTTCAAAATCCGAATTGGTAATATGTATAGATGGATTCGTCAATATAAAGAAAAAAATAAAAAAAAAATAATGTAACTATTTGCGATTTTTTTAATGTTTTTACATTATTTTCCAATGCAAAAAATAGCTGGAACTTTCCAGAAAATCAGCAGCGTCTGTCTCTAAATCGATTTTGAGTCAAATGGGATTTTTGTAAACGGAGGCTATAAATTTCAGTGGGCGCTCTCCCTTTAAATATTTAACGACCAAAATTGTTGAAATCCCTAAAGAAAAGAAGGAGAAGAAGAAGATTCTTGGAAGAGAGAGAGAGAGAGAGAACAAATCACGTCGTCTTTCAAGTCTTCTTCTTTCACGTGACTGAGCAAACGAGAGGGGAAGATTTTCCGATGGGTTCTCGGGGTTTTCTCGCGTTTTCCATCTGTTTTCTCCTCGTTTTCCCTCAATTTTCCTCCGCTGCCGTCCGATTCCCTCGCATGCTCTCCCAGAAGAATACGTACGGTCCCTGTCTGGCTCTATTTTGATGTTTGTATTATCCTCAATGTGGCTGTGTATGATTTCGATCTCGGTGGGATTCGTTTGTCTTCTCCCGAATTGGGCGTCTGAGAATTTCAGTTTCCCTTTCGTTCGGTTTGAATTTTTGCAGAGATGGGTCGGTGATTAAGATGAAAACGAGTGGTTCTTCCCTTGGTTTTGATCCAACTCGTGTCACTCAGCTCTCTTGGAGGCCCAGGTAATTGTCCTTCCCATGTCAGAGAACTCTGAATTTTTTTGAAAAAAATTGATCTTTGTTTCGCCATTTGTGTTATAAGTTTGTGAATCGTGGATTTCTTTTGTTCAGGGCATTCTTATACAAGGGATTTCTGTCGGATGAAGAATGTGATCATCTCGTTACCTTGGTTAGCAACAAAGTTCTTTTTCTTTCTCCTCAATTTTCTGTGACCACATAGAGATTTTGGGGAACTGGTAATGATCAGGGTTAACCTCCTTGCAACGGAATTCAGAAAGTTTTTGAATTTTGATTTTGATTTTGATTTAGGCGAAAGATAAGCTCGAGAAGTCCATGGTGGCGGATAATGATTCGGGTGAGAGCGTAGAAAGTGAAGTACGCACAAGTTCTGGAATGTTTCTAAAGAAAAGACAGGTGAGGTTTAATGTCTTTTGTATCAAGTTGAATCTCAGAGAATGTCGGAATTCCTAAGGAAAACGATAGATTGATGTAAAATTGTTTATAATCAATGACCTATTCTAGCTTCCTTCAAGTCGTCTCATTGCTTTCGCTGCCTCTTTCCATGGCTACCAATCTGTTGAATCTATCAGCCAAGCTGTTAACAAGTTGTCTGATTCCTTCTCAACATGTTATGTTCCCACTTTTTGGGATTATGCTTATGACAACCTCTGTGTCTTTACGGTGTTTCTGTCCATCCTTTACTGGTGAAAGTTTTCGGCGTCAAATTTAGATTCCCCTGTGATAAGCTGTTTCACGGTGCAGGATGAAGTAGTAGCTAACGTTGAAGATAGACTTGCTGCTTGGACATTTCTTCCCGAAGGTGAAATCTAAGAACTGACTGATCTTTCTAACCGTGACCACAAATCATTTGATATATAGTTTCTTATATGATTCTTCCTTTGGCGATCAGAAAACGGGGAATCCATTCAAGTTCTGCACTATGAGTATGGTCAGAAGTATGAGCCGCATTTTGATTACTTTCATGACCAGGCCAATATAGCACTTGGTGGTCATCGGTTTGCCACTGTTTTGATGTACTTGTCCACCGTCGAGAAGGGTGGAGAAACCATCTTTCCAATGGCAGAGGTAAAGAAAAAGATCATACGTTGCTCCATGACCTTCGTGAAGAAATTTTCGACCTTTGGCTATCATTTAATATCAATCACTTTCCTTTAGGCTAAAGATTCTCAGCCGAAGGACGATAGCTGGTCAGAATGTGCTAAAAAGGGCTATGCAGGTACAACCTCAGATTTATTTTCAATCGCATTAATGTGTTTTTCAAGTTTCACACACTCCAACAAGTAGGCAGTTGAGTTTGTCAAGGAAAAGAAATACGAATTTGCAATTGTCCGAATTGGGATCTTAAATAACTGGATTTTGTGTTCTTGCAGTGAAACCCAGGAAAGGTGACGCTTTACTGTTCTTCAATCTTCACCCTAATGCAACTACAGATCCGAGCAGTTTGCACGGAAGCTGCCCAGTCATCGAGGGCGAAAAATGGTCTGCAACCAGGTGGATTCATGTGAAATCATTCGATAGATCGTTGAAATCAAAATCAAAGTGCGTGGACGAGAATGAGAACTGTGTAACATGGGCGAAAGCCGGTGAATGTGACAAGAACCCTACTTACATGGTGGGTACCGACGAAGAACCAGGATTTTGCAGAAAGAGCTGCAAGGTTTGTTCATCTTAGAAAACGAAACAGCTCGAGTAAGTAAAGGATCGAACTTTTGTATAGCGAAAAAGACCGTTTTTTTTTACAATGTGAGATCGAGAATCCTAATACCATTCTTTTGGCAGTTCAAAATCCTGACTTTTCTTGATGCAGTTTACAGACGGTTCAATAGAAAGAACTTGGAATAATACGTGTTTACTGATCTTTCTTATCAGAAGAATTTCTCATGTGCTATAATTCTCATGTTCTGTTTCTTATATATGCGTGTATATACACACTCGTGCTTTGGTACTAAACACAGGAGTTGTCTATTTAAGACTGTATCTGACTATTGTAAGCATGAACTGGGATGGAACCTTGCCTCTGTTTCTTATATATGTGTGTATATACACTCGTATGTTTATGTATAAAGATCATGTCTTGGCCATTAACAAAAGCTTCGGCCGCATTGTATCTGAAGTTTCAGGACTCATCTTATCTTGAATCCAGAACTCGGTGTATTTGATTATGTTGGTGTTCTTCCATATGAATCCATTTAAATTTCATGTTCTGATGATAAAAAAATCACTTACTTTCCATCGCAGCCAATCATGCAAGAAACTTAGAGTTCTGTCCTTACAAACCCTTCATCTGAAACCTCGAATCCTTGCCTTGTCTCTAACCACTCGCGCTATCTGTTCAACGACGATACATCTTCGTATTCTTCCTCATAACAGCAACATAAACAGCGGAGACGAGTACAGCTCCAAGAAAATCGCATCTGAGGCCTCGGGAAGGTACGATCATCATTCCAGGAGTTTCTCTGTGGATGAAATACTGGACCGAGACAAAGAGATGCAGTCACAATTTCCTCCATTCTTGAATGATTTCGAGCATTAGACCTTTCTCTTGGGGGATGAAATTTTAAATGCAGTGCTGCAGTACCTTGAGATTTAGCAACTTGTGAAACAAGAACTATGTGGTTCAGTATGTTTTGCTCTTCTTTCCTCAACTCTAAGTTCCCATGTTCTTGGAATTTACTATGATGTTGTCTGAAATCTAATTAACATCATCAGTTGCATAATCAAATGAGGGATATTTAACGGCCCAAGATCTTTGACGGTCAAGACTCGAAATCTTTAAAATTGATGGAGGCTTGACAAAATCCTCTACTTCGCCAAGAGGGTTCACGCCGTGATATCTCTTGCTCGTCTTGGCAGCTACCGAGAAACTCTACACTTTGCAAAGCTCGAAACTTTTTAGCAATGGCGTTCGCGTCATCGTCTCTCATCCTCTCCCCGCTTGGAATCAATTTCGATATGAACAAGAATCTGGGCGCCGAGTATTCTTCTCTCCCTACAGTTAAACTCTTCAGATTCTCAACTCCGTGTCGGGATCGCAAATCCGCCATTACCATCGTATCATCTCGTAAAAAAAGTCTGCACTTTTTCCCTTTCAGAAAATTAGCACAATTTTTTTTCCCGTTTCCAATCTGCTTAATTACAAAAGGGTGTGCGTTTCTCTCATTTTCTGGGATATTTCTCGTGGTTTCTGTGGAATCAGATTCAGGTGGCGGTTTGGCAAGCGAAGAAAAGAAATTGTTGCTCGAACGATATGGTTATGATGCCAATGAATATGTGTCTCAGTCTAAGGTTCACTGCCTGTTCTGTCTTTCTTCATAATTATGCGTTTTTGGTTGCGGAAACTTTAGTCTCAGAAAGTTGCTAATTTGCAGAGAATTCGATGGATTTACTGATTTTGATTTTGCAGAGAATTTATCTTTTTTCCTGGATTTAACCCTGAACTCCAGTCTTGGAAACACATGTAGTGTCATTCAGTGAAAATGTCAAATCTTATGGCCCATTGTGTTTATTCTAATTTGCTTTGTAATAACGTGAAAATTCGCTGCTCAAAATCATTCACAGTTGATAAGAAGAAAAGAAGAGCTAAAGAGTGGAATGAGGAACAGACCAGAGGAGGAAGGCGCTAAGCAGCCGCCTAGAACAACGCATAAGTTGCTTCAGGTGCGTGCGTTTGCTTTTTGTTCATATTTCCTTCTCACCAGCATACCCTTTTGAAGGTTATATCTGGAATTTGGATGTATCATGACATGTCTGAGTATTCCTGTTCATTTGGTTCTGTTTTTTGAGTTATCCCCACTGTATGAATCTAACAATTTAGGTGTCTCGTGTTCTAGGTTCTTGGTGGGAAGGCCAAACGAAAGAAACTGCTCTCTCTTAAGGGCATGGATGTGAGACCCATGATGGAAGTTGTGAAAGGGGCAGCTTTTGGTATTCTCCAAGTAAGAGTCATAAGACATATATCGGCTTTTTTTTTTTTGCCTGGATTATTACCTTTGGTTTAGAGATGCTACTTGTTCAGCGTGATTGCTATTCGATGTCTGATTCTTCCATTTCGTTTAGGCTGCTGGTGGATGTCCAACATCTTTGCGTCCCGGTAAATGGTTGGACTTGTACAGTGGTACAGGATCTGTTGGAATTGAAGCAATCAGCCGAGGATGTACCGAGGTAGCTGAAAGAATCCATAGATAGTTTTTTGTGCACATATTCAAAAAGTTTTTTTATCTGACATTGTCCATCGATTATCAAACCAGCAAATTCTCGTGAAGAATTCTAACTAGTTTCTTCTGGAATTTTTTTGTATTGATTTTCCTGTTCTTGAAATAATCTCTAACACTTGTTTCCATATTGGATTTGTGTTTTTTTTTCAGGCACACTTTGTTGAGATGGATCCCTGGGTTGTTTCAAATGTTCTAGAGCCGAATTTGGAACACACTGGGTTTCTTGAGCATTCGGTTATACATACTACTCAAGTTGAAAACTTCCTGAAACAGGCAGATAAATTACTAGGTATGTCTTGCCTTGTCTTGTTGTCTCGATGAGTTGAAACGATCACAAAGTTCATTGTTCGTAACATATCCGCAAGTTTAGTCTTACCTAATGATTGAATTCGTATAATCTTTACTATTAGGTAAGGATGGACCATTTGATTATGTCAGCGTAACACCACCTTACATGGAGGTTGATTATGAGGTTCTGATGGATCAGATCTCTAAGTCAGCGGTGATTGGGACGGACACATTTATTGTGGGTAGCTGTTTACTGTCATTTCTAAACCAACCGGTATATTTTAGTGTTTGTTTCTCAATCTTTCTCGGATACATTTGATATAGGTGGTCGAGTATCCTTTAAGAACCGAAATGCTTGATACATGTGGATGCCTCGAAAAGGTAACTTTTTTTGGTCTTTGTTGCTAGTATTGTTTGGTGATGGGAGACTGAGGCATGTTTGTCATTAATGATTGGCATTATGCAGTTGACTGATCGGAGGTTTGGTCGAACACATCTGGCAATATATGGACCGAAATGGGCCCAGAAGCCGAGAAAATCTTGAAGGCATAGTGAACCTCAATGGTCAATTTTTAGCTCTAGTTAGTTGGTTAAAGGCAAGGAGTAGAGGCTAAGCCTAAGTGGCTAATATTGTTCTAAAAGTCTCCAAATGCCAGAGTAAGTGGCTTTGATGAAAATGTTATTACAACTCTGGCGATGATAAAGTTCACGTTGATATGATTCGGTTTGTCGTATTTGCTTCTGCAATGTGTTACGTGAGCATTTCCTTTCCATTTGAACTTCTCAGATCTTGTTTCATGGGTTAATTTTGCAGGTGCTTTTGTCCATCAATCTCCTTTTTCGCTTATTGCTGCATCCTCAGAGAATTATACCAAATCCTAAGATCTTCTAATGCTAATATATGGTCAAGAGAATGGTAACTCTGTATGTTTCATATATATTTGTCAAGCGGATATATACAATACGAGTTATCCGATCAAATAAAGGTTTCTCCTTTGTGCGTTTCCATTGGCCTCTATTGATTAAACTTAAGGTTTGAGGCAGCAACTCGCTATATGCATGCATTCCACATCAAGACCTTTTGGTTAACATTTATTTATAGAGAATCTTTGTTGAAGAGACGGGAACTGAGGTACGTATGCATCCCTTTCTTGGATTCAGTTTACTTCATAAAAGAGCTCTTTAGCAAAGCAAGTGTCTTGAACTTGAGATCTCTAGAGGGCAATATTTTGCATGCCTGTGCAGATGGAGATTGTAGGAATCAATGTTGTAGGGCACTATCCATGTGTAGGATCCCTTAATAATGCAGGGAAACAAATATGGCAAGGGATTGTGGGACCATGGCTTGTTTATACTTTGGCTTTACTATAAAAAGGGTAAGCCTCTCTTGCCCACCATGGACAAAAAGGAAGTTTGCTTGTGAAATGAAATCAAACTGGCTGAACCCTGAATCTTCCCAAGCTGTCAATGGAATATTGGATCTTTTTTTTCCCCACGAAGTTGGTGTTTTGGTAGTTAGAGTTAAATTCTCACATATGTTTCACGGCGCTTACATCTCTAAGGAAGTTCATGAATCATGATATGATCTTCTTTGCTTTTGAGGCATAGAGGTTTACTGTTAGTGTTAAGGTGTTACCGGAAAGCGTAAATTAGTTTCAAATCATATCTTTTAGCCTTCAAATACTAAAGAGCACCAGACAGAAGAAGTGATTTTCAGCTGTTTTTGCTCTGTTGTGGTCATTGGCATTAAGGGTAGGCAGCAATACTTAACAAGGAAGAAAACTGCAGCTCCTCCAAAGGTTCTTTCGAGAGGGTTTTTCGTAAATATGCATTACATAATCTTCATTGTTTTTGTTATTGGTCTAAGAGCACCTCCCAGAGATTTAATATGGTGACAGGGAAAGTAGCAGGCTTATTAATACTCAGCCACAAAAGGTACATTTTCCTGTGTCTTTAAGTTGCTTAAAAATATGTGTAGTCAGGGGCGTTAGTGAGGTCCCAAGTGGTTTGATGCATGAAAATGCACAAATCAAAGCAAAGAAAAAGGGTTCTTAACGGGCCCAGATGTTATATAAAGCTATGTTATGGATCACTTTCTCTATCTACGTGTACATATACACATGCATATATGTATGTATGTATGTATGTATTATGACAGTGCTGTTGCTTTGTGTGCTTCATCTTTAAATAGGACCAATCAACGGATTGAAGACTTTTGGTCCAAAGTGAGATTCTGATGAGAGAATCCTCTTTCTTTTCTTTTTTTTTTTTGGCATGGGGACACGGATTCCAATTTTCCGGTGTCTTTTTCTTTAAACATGTTTTCCGTACTTTCTGTGTGTTTTTTTGGTAAAAAGTTACAATGAAGCTGTTCTTCATTTTTTTTTTCTGTAACGGTAGAACCATCCCGTGGCGGGTCCGATAACGTTATCGGACAGTAAACCTTCGATTTCACGTAATAGACGATAAACCACGCGGAACCAGTAAAGTATCCGAAACTAATCGGTTAAAAAAAATCAAAATTCAAAAGGAATCGAACCCACAATCTCGTGTAAAAAGGTTCATTTTCTAATTGAGATAGACTTCTCCCTAACTTTTCTTCTCTTGGTCTTCCAACACTTCAGAAATTCAAAATCCTTTTTTTAAATCCAAACTGAGTTTCAGATCTCAGACATATCAGAATCCAGAAAAATAGATAATTACGATATTTATATATGGAAATTGCAATGGTATAGTATCTTCTAGAATTAACAAAATATCTAAAAATATATAAATAAAATCACTGAGACCACTACCGGACAAATCAAGAGACAACAAATTCGTAAAATTTAGGAACTAATGTTTTTTATTTTTAAAATTCTCCCCCTTCTTTGTGGGTAATTGCATTTTGGGCCCGTTTGGCCCATTATGTTCAGCCCAACCCAACAGATTTTGTGCGACTGTGGTATCCATTTCTTTCCCTTTCCACTTTTGTTTTCTCTTTCTGTCCAAGAACCTCTATTCCTGTGACAGTCACTTCATCACAATCTGGGATGTTTTGTTCAGTCTGTTTAATGCTAACCGGGAAGTTGCAGGGCATAAGTCACAGGAAAAACATGAAGAGAGGCAGTGGATCTTTACTTGGAGCTACGGGTTTCATCGTGTTTCTTCTCGTGGGTATGTTTGCAAACTCTGAAGCCAGAAAAGATATTCCAGTGGTGAGGATTCCATCAGTAGAAAGAGTAGGAACTTTGCGGCGGCCCAACGGGAAAGGCACTGATCGTTTTGCCCGAGACTTGGATCTGTTTTACGCGAGCAAGAGAAAAGTGCCCAATGGACCTGATCCCATTCACAACAGGTACATGTTTTCCCTTTCGAGTTAGATAATTTTACTCACGTTTCTTCTGTCCTCTTTTACCTAAACCAAAGATTACTCATCTGTATGGCCATTGAGAATTTTGCTTGAAACTGGCTTAAACTGATCTTTATAGCTTTTGCTCAATTCAAGACTTCTTTAGTGTAATTCCAACACATACACCAATAACAGGTGGTGACTATCAAGATAAGTACCCATGATTCTATTTTCTTCCTTCCTTCTTTTCAAGTGTTTCCTATACCATATGCCATTAAAGGATTCATCTTTTAGAATGCATTTTTGCGGATGATGATGATATCAGGTTTTATCGTAACCTCTTCAGTTCCCTTTCTCTAATTTTTAGGCCGACAAACTAAACTCCGACAGACGTTTTTTTGTTCAGGAGGGCGGAGACATCTAGACGATCACCAGGAGTCTGATTGCACGCTGGGAGACCATAACCAACCGTGGATTACAATATGAATTTTGGTACGCGAAAACATTGACGAGCGTTCTGCTACAATATCATGTAAACATCACGTTTTCACGACTCGGGCTTCCCTTACTATTAACTCACTGTGGCTGCAGAGCACGTATCGTGAAATCAAGGCGCCCTGTAGACTGCGTTTTCATGTCAAGAACAAGAAGCCTGTGTTTCTTGGGGGTAAGCCATAACTTGAGAGATATGCCAATCCATAGACAGACCCTTTTAAACCCCATAGATTCTTTGAGCCAAGTCTGCAACTTTTCCCCCCGACGGGGAAAAATCGTGGAGTTGTTGAGGCAGATGCTAAGCGAACGAAGAAGACTGAAGGGCCTTCTAAGGGTCTGTGTCTATCTTTCTTTCTTTGCCGTTTTCTTTTTGAAATGTATGCTTTGTTTGAAGCTTGCTTTGGTGTTCTGTCCCCTGCTTAAAGCGCCCATTAACTAAAGTTGCTCTGTTTCCAAAAAACAATTTCCCCTTAAACACTGGTGGTGGTGGTCATTTGCATGGTCAGGGCCCCTTTCTTTATGGTTTCTCTTTTTTTCCATCTCTTTTAACAACAACGCTTTAAGATCACATCTATTCTCATAGCGTGGCAACTCCTTTGAGGCTATTATGCGGTTTAGAATCCACAGATCCAAATCATGGGTTTGCTATCTGGTTAGATATGGGAATTCTCTAATGATCAGTACCCAGAAAATGTTTTTTTTCTGGTATTTTGGTAGCATATAACAGGTGAAATGCAGGAGGAAAGAGCTCTCTCTCTCTCTCTCTCCGAGAAGCAAGCTGAAAGACTTTTGGTCCAAAGTGAGATTCTGATGAGAGAATCCTCTTTCTTTTCTTTTTTTTTTTTGGCATGGGGACACGGATTCCAATTTTCCGGTGTCTTTTTCTTTAAACATGTTTTCCGTACTTTCTGTGTGTTTTTTTGGTAAAAAGTTACAATGAAGCTGTTCTTCATTTTTTTTTTCTGTAACGGTAGAACCATCCCGTGGCGGGTCCGATAACGTTATCGGACAGTAAACCTTCGATTTCACGTAATAGACGATAAACCACGCGGAACCAGTAAAGTATCCGAAACTAATCGGTTAAAAAAAATCAAAATTCAAAAGGAATCGAACCCACAATCTCGTGTAAAAAGGTTCATTTTCTAATTGAGATAGACTTCTCCCTAACTTTTCTTCTCTTGGTCTTCCAACACTTCAGAAATTCAAAATCCTTTTTTTAAATCCAAACTGAGTTTCAGATCTCAGACATATCAGAATCCAGAAAAATAGATAATTACGATATTTATATATGGAAATTGCAATGGTATAGTATCTTCTAGAATTAACAAAATATCTAAAAATATATAAATAAAATCACTGAGACCACTACCGGACAAATCAAGAGACAACAAATTCGTAAAATTTAGGAACTAATGTTTTTTATTTTTAAAATTCTCCCCCTTCTTTGTGGGTAATTGCATTTTGGGCCCGTTTGGCCCATTATGTTCAGCCCAACCCAACAGATTTTGTGCGACTGTGGTATCCATTGGATAATATTTGATCTTTGCATTATGAGCCCATGCATTCGCAAATCTTCCTCCCACCAGGTTTAAATTTGATTTTTTTGTTAAATTTTTTATTATATCAAACTCTATTTTATATTAAAAAGTGATGGCTAAATCGATATTTGGATTTTTTTTTGGTGGAATTGACACTTGCAAATTCTTTTTTTAGTTAGTTTGCGGTACTGGGTTCTGGAATAGAAAAATGTTTGCATAACATTTTAGTTAGTTTGCGGTACTGGGTTCAAATTGAATTTACCAACCCGGTTATCTCTTGTTTTCCGGTTAGGATAAACCGATTAAATTTTATAATTTTCATTTATACTGACGTGGCATACACCCGTCGTCGATGTGTTGCGGTGGCGGCACACATGTCATTCTATTTGAACATCCGTTTTAACGTCGTTCTCTGTTCTCTATTGAATCGGTCCCGAAAAATGTATCAAATCATACAAATTGAAATTTTTTCTTTAACATTTTGACAAATTGGATATTTAATTTTCCAAAACTTTTTCTATCAAATTCTACAACACACGTATATACACATGCTGTCCCTTGTGAAAGATTGATCAAATCGGTTATTGATTTGGTAAATTAAAAATTGGATCTTTTTCTGGAACATTTTGATAAATTGGGTATTTTTTTTGGAAAAAGCTTTAATTTTCCCAGATTTTTTCCTATCAAATTTTAACAACACGTGTAATGACATAGACTGGCCCTCGTGGATCGGCTTCGTGAGATAAACATTAATGTTAATTTTAATATCGAGACACGGAGAATATACCGGAAGATATAAGAAGATGTGAAATATATTTTAAATAAAATCATAATATTTAAAATTAATTTAATTTTAAATATTGATATTAATTAAACGAGATACTATGCTTGTGTTTTAAAACTATAAATATTGTAATTCCTCTTACGATTGACCATTTCGAAATTGACAAAAGTTCTCAACACTTTTTGTGGGGTTGTTCATTCATTTCAATTTCTTTTCTCTCTCTCAAATCGAAGCATGGAATTCGGGATCCGTCTTCGTTCAGTCTTCTCCGTGGTCGTGTTCCTGTTGTACATAGAATCCTCGGCTTATGGTCGGGTTCTGAGTAACTCCAAACCGGACAGAAAGAACGTCGTCGCAAGTGCCCGGTGGTTGGTCGCTGAGAACACCTGGGGCGTTCTCAGGTACAAATTTCCATTTTCTCCTGTCGGGCTTTTCTCCTTTTGGTTTGATTTTGGCTTCATGGGACCAATTTGAACTGACCCAGATCTCCCCCTTTTTGTTTTTCTTGGTTCATGATTTCTTGAATGAGATATCTGTTTGGATCATTAAGGTGGAATCGATGGCTATTTTCAGTAAAAGTTTCTGGATTTGAGCGGATTGATTTGTCATAAGCAGAAAGAATCGATGGCTATATGTATTCACTTCATCAAGCTCAATCCTTTGGGATGATGATTAGCGATATCTGGGATTATTACGAGGGAGTTACTGAATTTTGAGATAGGGAATTGATGAGATTATTGCTAATATCCCCTGGTTGTTCATAATGATCTCTTCTGCAATTTTTGTCAAGACTGAACAAATCCTAACTTGAATCTTGTGTTCCGCAAATTTTGCAGCACTGTCTCTGGCGATCTCAGAGGAGCTCCATGGGGGTAAAGTTTCTGTCCCCTGATAAATTAACGCGTGTGTTCTTGGTTTGATGAGGAAATTGCCAGTTTGATGTTCTTGAAACGACTGTCTCCATGTCCTAGAAACGGATGTCGGGTGTTGTATTATCCAATCTTTTCGACTTTTGACCGCATTCTTCTTTTAAAATTCATGATCTTCTTCATTTGGAGCATTCGTACTTGTGCTTCCAGAGCATGAAATAACAGATTCTGCTCTTCCCTCTCGCCTCTCCTAGCGAGATTGGAAATGGGAGATTTCCCGGGCAATCAGATCTACGAAAATGTTTCTTCAATGGTTTTTGTTTGTTTATCGTAGTTTCAGCTTGCCTTTTTTTTTTGCAGGAACGTCGTTTCATTCAGTGACGGGATTCCGGGCAAAGGCACCGGTATACCCTACTTCTACTTGACAACTCTCGATGTAACGGCAAGAAACGCCCTAAAAGATCCGAGGGCCTCGCTCGCAATTAGTGAGAAACCCATCGGGACGTGCACGAAGGATCCCATGGACCCGACTTGCGCGAAACTGACCCTCACCGGAAAGGTACATTACATAAACCGATATTTCTGCGGTTGTATTGTTGGCTTCCGCTGATAATCTTAGCAACTGCTTATCGTCTTGTTACGATAATTCTTAATCTTAGATTTTGTCCTAACGATCCAATCCACACCAGTTGCTGCCACTGAAACAAGGGTCGGAGGAAGCAAAAGTTGCAGAGAAGGCACTATTCGCAAAGCATCCGGAGATGATCGGTAACCGTTATTTCCGTTGATTGTGCATCTTATCCGTACGCGTTTTTTACACGGTTTCGATATTCTTGCTTGAACAGGTTGGCCCAAGAGTCACGATTTCCAGTTCTTCAAGCTCGAGATCTGCCACATATTTCTGCTCAACTGGTACGGCGGACCTAAACTCATCACCGTGCAAGAATACCTCAACGCAAAGCCGTAAGTACCCATGCAATCATTGAACACAGCCCGACATCAAACCGAAACTAAGATTCAGATTCTTACCTTAATCGTGTCCCAATAAAAGATCCCTGTTAGTTTCGCCTCTGTAAACGTCTTTCGATTATTATTGAATAATGAGAAAAAAACGCCCGATTGAATTGAATCCGGGTCTTCGAAATTCAGCCCTTTTCATTTTCTACATCATTTGCTGCTTCCATGGTTTACAGAATCAAACCCGTCTCGTCTCTGTGAAAACTCGACGAAGAAGATTCAGAATCTTAGGCAGTGTGATGAAGCATGTAAGAAGCCATGCATGTATACAGTGCAAGTGTATATCGGTGTATACTGATTGTATGTTCACTTTGGTCGGTGTGTTGTTCTGTAAATGACTGTTCTTTGGTGGATTATACTGTTCGAGAAATGAAATGAACAGATTCGTTACGATATTTTCGTACTGCTGAAATCTCAAAATCTCTGATGTAAACTCTTTTTTATCGTACAAAAAAAATATCAGAAACGAGTTCATTATGCAATTTATTATCGAGGCTGTAAGGACAAACTCCGTGCCGTTTAAACATTAACTCGGCACCACACGAGGAAACTACTCTGCCAGCCCCGAAACGGAAACTCTCGCAGCGGTCAAGGGCATTTGGGTCTTTTCCCATGGGTGGTCATGCTGACGTAGCACTTGCCGCACTTCTCCCTGTTTCCGTGGGTTCCGGGCGGCACGCACTTGCACCTGAAACAGCAGGCAGTGCAAGCCCTGATGCAGACGTTTGGTCTCGAATGTGAGCTGCATCTGAACTCACACAGCGGTCTGCAATCTATCCAATCACAGCAAATACATATCATTTCTTCATGCATGTGTTACATAACCTTACTCGGTAAGTAAACGTGTGTTAGGACATGTCAGTAGACTTGATCGAAAGAGAAAAAAAGAAATGCCCATGGCGGGTGTTTTACCTTTTACCGTCCTAATCCATGGAATTACCGGTGGCTGCGGTGGTTTGACCGGAGGTGACGGTGGTTTGACGACCACCGGAAGAGGAGGAGGTGGTGGTCTCTTCACTTGCAGGTCCGAATAAACCTATATACACACACATAACACAGCCCGCGAAGAATTAAACCAACACCATCTATGAAAGTACACACACGCATATATATATATATATGTATGTATGTATGCATATACATGAACGATATAAATTTTGTTATAGGATACTAATAGGTATATTATATGGAACGGATAGTAACAAACATATTGTAAAATACTAATGTGACACAAGGGACTTACAAGCGAAGAGAGTGAGAAGAAAAGTGTGGCGAAGAACAGCAAAAGAGATTTTGTGTGAGACTGAGACATATTGTTGTCGATCGAGGGATTCAAACAACAAGGGGGTTGTCTCTTTAAATAGTGAAACGTATTTTACCCACTTTAATGCCATTACAAATATATAAATACATATATCATTGGTACTTTATTTTTCTTAAATTAATTATTCACATATCATATATATATATATATGTATATGTAATCTAGAGAGTTCTACTACACATGCGCTTACGTACGCACACGTCCACACCGCCACCAGACCAGACCGCGAATCGTTGCATGGGGATCGGAGATTTAATTACGTACCGACCTGGTGCTGGTTTCATTTTATCAGAGTAATCCAGATTGCATTATTTTTACAAGTCAAGAACAGCAAGATTAATATAATTCACATTTTCCAATAACTTACTCTAATATTAATAATTCGTGACAAAAAAAACAATTATCTTGGTGTCACAAGCATATTTTAATACTATTTCCATTTGTTGTATAGTATTTTATAATAAAAAATGTTGTGTTTAATCGATGTAACCTGATCTCGATAATCACTAAATCTTGGATTAGCCTGGGGGGGGGGAGATTAGGTTAATCTGTTCACAATTAGTTTCGAAATTTGAGGTCCCCAACGTATTGTCATGATAAGAAAAACGTGGTTGGTGTTATTTTTTTCATAATTTGGATACCCATAGAAACATTTTATTGAGTTTTCTAATTTTATTGTTAATTTTTACATGTATTTGCGAAAACATTGTTGGATTTATTAAACCTAATTATCAAATTACAATTACATTAAATTATAAGATTATCCTCTAATTTATTTGCAGAATCAATATATTTTATTTATAAATTGACATCAGTAATTGTGACATTAAATATATTATATTATTCGAATGCTTATATATGTATACGGAAATTCTGCAAGACTTTGTAAAATATATGTATAACAGTGAAGAATTGTAGAGCTATATGCAAAGGAGTGAAGGTTCATCAACTTTCCGAGAATCGAAACATTGACGTCTACGTTGTATCTTGTTTAGTAACGTAGCGGTCTGCATGGCTCCGGCAACATCCTTGTTCAACCTTGTTTGGCTGGTGAGAAAACGAGGGAGAAAAAATCTCAGGAGAAAGGAAAACGAAAGGACAATCCATGAATTCTTATAGTTATTTCCATCTATTGGTATAAGGAACAACATTGTGTATGTATATATATATATATATACTTTTACAAGTATACAGATCCAAGCTCCGTGTTTCTGAAACTGGAGATTCAGTTCTTACAAAAAGAATCAAAAATCAACTATAACAGCGAATGACAACAATATGATCTCAGCTCATCTGCTCGCCGATCAAGTCCAACCCTACGACCAAGAAAGACAGTCCCTGAAACAACAAGAAGTAGAAGTGAACTCCATGAGCCGACAAGAAGCTCCTCCCGGCCGCTGTCAGTAGCAGAAACGCCAATCCCAGTTCCTTCTTGTACACCCTGTTCCCCTTCTTCTTCTGCCCCGGCCCCCCAGCGATACTTTTCCCCGTTTCTTGTTCCTTAAGTTTGCTCAGAAGCTCCAGACCCGACTCCGAATGCCTCCTGTGAAGCTTCTCCTCTTTATCAGCGAAGGCCAGAAGGTCGGATTCTGAGGATCTTCCCGTCTTCTTGGTCACGACCCACTCGTAGGCCGAACCGAGCTGGAAGAGGCCAGAGATCATGGCGTTGAACTTGGTGATGGACATGGTGTTTTCAAAGAGAAGGTAAGGGACTAAGAAAGGGAAGGACCTCGGCGAGGGGAGGATGTTGAGGAGAGACATGAAAATGGGGACGTAGCAGATTACCCACAAGGGGAGCTCGGCTTCGGGTATGAACATTGTCAATGGAAGTATGATGCAGAAGAGTGTGAATGAGTAGAAGGGTAGTATCAGCTTTCTCAGAAGGAAGAAGAGGAAGATCAGATTCGTCTTCTTCCATACCGATATCTGCAATCAAATAACAAACCTATCTATCAGAATGATGATCAAACCATATTCCATATATATATATATCGGTTCGACTTTCGAGTCATCTCTAAACCCGTTTTTCGGATTTTTCTCACGTTATAACACGATTTCATCTTATATAGTGCCCGTATACCCGAAATTCGTTTTTTTTTTGTCAAGTTCTAAAGTCGTTACCTTGGAAGTTATGATGGAAGGAAGGCAAAGCCTAAAAAGCTGCATAGGGCCGGAATGCCACCGATGCTGCTGCTTCTTGTAAGCTTCATAAGACTCGGGCAATTCGCAGGTAACCCTAACATCGTTAAGGTAGATGAATTTCCAACCGTTGAGATGAGCCCTCACGGCGATATCCATGTCCTCGACCGTCGTCCTTTCCATCCAGCCGCCGGATTCTTCGAGAGCCTTGATCCTCCAGACACCTGCTGTTCCATTGAAACCGAAGAAGTTGAGGAACAGACCGTTCACTTGCTGTTCTACCTCGAAGTGGAAACAGAGGTTTATGTTTTGGAGCCTCGTGAGGAGGTTTTCGTCTTTGTTCACGAATGACCATCGTGCTTGGACCAAACCCAGTTCTGGATTCCTCTTCAAGAACACAAAACATGTTCTTAATCTTCTTGTTAAAGCGTAGAATCCGACAAATCTACTTAAAAGACCAAACAAAAACCAGAAGATATGCAGATTAAGTTGGTGTTTTACCTTGAAATGAGGGATAGTGAGCTTGAGGAAATCAGGGTTTGGCTGGAAATCGGCATCGAAGATGGCTACGAACTCGTAGTCTTTGACGTAATCGCAGCTCATTGCTGACTTGAGATTCCCGGCTTTGTAACCTGTTCTGATCAGACGATGCCTGTAAATTATGTTTACGCCTCTTTCCCGCCAAGCGGAGACTTCTTCTTTGATCAGAAGCTGCAGATTTGGTTCATCTGAATCGTCCAGAACTTGAATCAAGATTCTGTCCTTTGGCCAATCTAGCTGTGAAACTGCACCAATGGATTGCTCATACACCTGAAAACATAAAGAACAGAACGGTTAAGATCCTGTTGGCACAAGAATCATCCGGTTTATTCAATTCAACAAACTCTAAACCGAAGCAAAATTCCTATTCTTGTTCCGGTTTATTCATTAACCGTTCAGTGTTTTGAGTTTTTTGTTTTCTGACAACTCTTGAATCTAACCCGAACAGAGAGCAGAGGGTTTTGGTTGTTACCTCGCGTTCGTTGCACATGGGAATCTGAACAAGGACCATCGGGAAATTCGAACCGTCTTCCACATCCAGAACATCATCGTCAATTCTGGGCTTGATCTTCTTACACTTGATCCAGAAACAACCGAGGCAAAGAACTAACCGATCAAGAGACTGGATCAAGAACAGAACAGTGCAGAACTTGGAGAGACTGATCACAATGGGAGCGACGTAATCTGCCCGAAACGAAAGCCATGCCATGTAAGACCACTCCACCAATCCTCGAACCTCCCAAGAGGGTCTGTTTATGAGATCCAAGTTCCATTTCTTGTAATGCGCGATGACTTCTATGGCCAGAGCCACGATGGAAATAACCAGACAGGCTTTTATGAATCTGTACATCTGTTTTCCTCTGCTTTTTGGGTCTTCTTCCTCGTTAAGGTTACTGTCGAACAAGGCAACGCGTTTCTTGACAGAACCGAACAGCCATGAGAGGCATGAAACAACTCTGTGGGCTTTGAGAAGGAGAAACCAGGAGAACTGTTTGGGGCTGATAGATTTTCGCTTGTCGGGGAACAAGGATGAATCTGAGCCGTTGATCTCTATCAGAGAGAAGTTTTCTGGCTTCTCCATTGTCACCGCTACTGTATTCGGGGCCATGATCTGAGGGGGGAAACTATAAAGAATGGGGAAAACAACCGATGCCCGAATCAAATATGGGGGAGATGAGAAATGGGTGGAAGTTGGATTTTGGATCTACGACTTGTTTCTCATTACAAAGATGAAATTGAATTGAAGGAAATGTCACTGTTTCATGTAGTTTCCGTAAAGAACTGGATCTTTTGTCAGACCAAATAATGAACAGAACAGTATCCTGAGATACGCTATTGTAGTTGACTGAAACTTGAGAGAGAGAGAGAGAGAGAGAGAGACGAGTATCATATGGTGTAGAGAAAACCTGGTAATAAAGAAATAAAGAGGAGAGAAGAGAGGGAGACTCCTTTCTTGAATTTTCTTTTTCCTTTTCCGTTTTTAAGGGAAAAAAGCCTAGATTTTTTTTTTATGTTTAAATGTTTTAATGTATTGTGAGTTTGAAAATCCAACTCATTGATATAATTATGAATTTGTGAACACAAACCATGTGATTAGATTTCAAATTTCATGATTAAAGTCAACTTAAGAGAATCTAATATTTTCAAGGAGGGTTCATCCATAACTAAACAGAGAATCTTCTCACTTCATAGTTCTCACAGCCCCAAGATTTCATAAATTGATATTTTTCATAAAAAACATACCGAAAAAAGTATATAAATTCATGGGAAAAAAAATACATAATTTAGAAATCAAACAGAAAAATCTACTGTCTCCGTTTCTAAATAATTATCGTTTTAGAGTTTTTTCACACTTTTTAAGAAAATATAAAAAAAGTATTCTATATCCTTATTTAATATAGATTTAATAGTAAAACCTACCTTATTGTTAAAAAATTATTAGAATTGTAGTAGTTTTAATAAAAGGTAAAATTAGAAATTATTTTATAAAATTACCTATTTAAATGAGAACGACATTTATGTAGACAACAAAAATAACTATTATTGTGAAACGGAGAGAATACTATTCAAAGATTGGCAAATGTCCATTTGTATAAATACAAAATGAAAAAATCATATTCCAAATTGTGTAAAAAAAATTCAAATTGAAATAAGATGTTCCCAAGAAAGGACAAACCGATTCCGATGATTGGGTTGGGTATGGAAAACTGACGGATGACAACTTGGTCCAGCCCGGTGGCAGATCAAATCTCGTACATTAAACTATTGTTTTAAATAATTATTATAAATTTTCATTCATTGTGACCAAAAAATAATAATTAGATGATTATCTAATTCTTTTAGTTAATCGATCTTATGATTTTAATAATTAATTTTATTCGTTGTGACACAAAAAATATTGAATTGATTTTCTTCATGTTTACCTTTTTTTGTGAGTTTTTTTTAATGGAGATATAAATATTCTGATATTTATAGATAATTTCTGCATTTAAATTTTGGATTTGATTTGGTCATAATTATCATAAAAAAGTTTGGATTTTTTTTTATATTTGGTTGATTTGCATGTTACTTTGGATATTAAACATGTAAATGCTGGATCTCGTGTGTGTGTGTGTGTGTGTGTGTGTATATATGTATGGTTTTAGTTAGTTTCAACAAATATGTCACTAGGAACATCCCTATATCTCTAGAGTTTTATATGAGGTGTTCAACCGAATCATCCGAGAGTTTTATAAAAAAAATATTTTGATAATTAATTTTTATTTTTGACCAATTGATATTCTTTTACCCAAAAGAATATTTTAGAAAATTACCATAACGTTACCATAATCTTCTACATATTATTTATATATCTTGATAAACAAATCATGTTTTAGTTAAAAAATAATCAACTTCACCAAAGTTGAATCTTATAGTATGATTCAGGAGAATATTCGGAATATTGAGAAAGAAACAAACTAATAAAAAAGAAATAATTTAGTTTTTTTTTACAAAAAAAAAATAATATAGTTTTTTTTGGATTGATTATTTGATATATTTTTTTCGATATTTAGAATGAATGGATATAAGATGTTTGTGTGTTTCTTATTTATCACACATTATTTATTATTACATCGTCTACATTTATTGAGTACTAAAAATGTTTTTGTGATCATAAAAAAGATAAAGAATTGTGTTCTTTTTGGATTTTCACGGTTTTGTAAAGGAGCATATATATAGTATGGGTCATCCAAAAGTTCATGTGGATGGATGATGGATATGAGTGTGTCCTATCAACCATGCAATGGAGACTCAAGAAAATAGTGAAGAGATATATATATATATATATATAAAGCCAAGTGAACATGCCTATTAAACACACATATATGATATATGTATATGTATGTGCATATATGTATATGTATGCATGCCCTATACCAACCTTAGCCTTTGTTGATTCATAGGCATTGTCACATGTGCTTTGCTTACCCTCCCATTTGGGCCATGGTCCATGTGACCTGGTTTCCTCTCCAATTTGTATAATAATAATTTTTAAAAGATTTCAGTTTTTTTTTTAGGTTTTTGTAATTGGGATTTGAGAGTACAATTATGCTTCTAATTAATTATTATTCATTCGTGTTCAACGACTATAAGGATTTATCTCTCCTCCAACATCAAGTGGACCTGCATTTATTGGTTAGATTTTGCATAAAATATCTTTTTTTTTTTATATAAATCTATTATTGTTGTAGTTGTCGTCCATCTACGTTTTTTTTTGTGAGTTTATCCATCACATTATGTCTATATTTGCCTCTACATGCAATTCAATGCACAACTAACATGTACAAACATTATAATTGAATTGAGATTACACAATTTATCACTTAAACCGTTCCCTCTCTCTCTTATATCTCCCAAATGTATTTGGACTATTTCTCTCTCTCGATATTTAATCAACGAAGATAAGATCGAATGGTCGATATCGCAGTTTTATGGATATAATTTCTGCATTTTTTTTAGTTTACAACACAATACATCTTCTGAATTTAATGGCGTGATAAAATTTTCTCTGTGTTCATTGAAAAAAAAAAGAAATGGGGAAGATGGGTATAACCCTCTTATACTTTTTTGTGTAGATTAAAAGATTAAAATTGTTAATTGGGTCAAAATGACAAAAACAAATGATAAATATACGGATAATATCATACAAAATACGTAAAATAAAGTGTAAGATGTAACTAAAAACATGCCTGACCGGAGAAAGTCATGTCAATTAAAGGCTTCAAACCTATCCTAAGCAAAATGCCAGCCGACAGACTTCTCTACCCATGTTATCTTGTAATGTGTATGTGTAAAATATCATGTGAAATGGACATGAACACACACACACACACACATGCATATATTCATATATATTACGGTTCAAAATGAAACCTGTGTTCAACCATAAGTCCAGGAACCAGAAATAAAGTTAAAATCTTTATATGCAGATTTGAATTGAATCTATGGGTTTTCAACTTCACACGATAAAAATTTAGTTTTTTTTTTTTTAAAGTTCGGATTTTGATGGCATGATTAACGGTATCTGCAGATAAGGGCGAGGAAATGTCAAAGAGGGGATGAGGGGCGAAGATGACGAGACGACACCGTGAGGGGTCGAGTGGGCGAGAGCTGGAGATTTTGAAGAAAGAAAAATAAAAAGAAAGGTGAGGCGAGGTTCACCACTCGCCCCTCGCCTCTGCCGGTCATGGCTCGGGTGCCCGGCCAACAGAGCAACAGATTCCGACCCCCGGAATCCGAGAAACGCGAATTCGGGATCGGATACCCAAAATTACCCGACCATCGAAGAGAACCACTGTTGAAGCATCATCACTTCAGAAACTAGGGCTTTGTTTTGTGGTCATAGTTTTCATGTGTGGATTCAGATTTTGGACGTTAGCCCTATCGCTTAGGGTCCAAGGAACAGGATCCATAAAGATTCCAGAGAGTTGATCCCATCCTGAGCTAGCTGACGCTCTCACTTAAAACTTCAAACGCAGAAAACAGATGATTTAGTGATGATATGAACATACAAACGTTCCAATGAAAAGCCTCGTCCATTCAAGTTTCTATTGCAGCCTGCATCTAGCATGATGAATGGTAAGAACGCAGCCTGCAACACCTGAACAAAAGAATGGCGTCGAGGTTTCTGTGCTCACGCAAAGACATGAATGAAGAATGAAGAATGAAGCACAGGATTTTCAACTCTATGGATCAATGGCTTCGAAATAGTCTCGAAACCAGAGTAGCATCAATTACTATCTGGTATCCATTTGTAATCGATCAAAGTAACAAATTGACATATGGATCAATCCCTCTGGTAGCAATACAGATGCCCTCTAAACAAAAAGGCCATTTCCTGCACCAGGAAACAAGCAATTTTGGAACAGAAACTGGCCCGAAGAGCCTTCAACTACAAAAGATTAGAATTTGAAAGAAGGCAGATGACTTCAATTACAATATCTTTACATTCTGTGCCCAATAAGTTCACTCCATCAAAGACTTCGAACAAGCTAAACCGGCAAAGAGAAAACTTACGGACAATAGGCTGCAAATGAACTCTACAATACTTCACCAATATACCGAGAAAACCTCGGTGATGAAGATACATTCCTCAAAGGCACTGCTACTTAGCACACTAGCAGACATGCTATATTGCTAAGAATGCTCAGTCTCACCACACAACAAGATCCGAGTTCTTATCTTTCCCCAAAGAATAATTACCTCGAGAAATCTTGAACAGAAAGATATGGATATGGATCAATATGCAATTCTTCAACTATTCCTTAGAAATCCATCGTTGCATAGTAGCAAGAACATTCTACCGGGAGAATTAACACCAACCATCAATCAATCTGAATACAAGTGAACACTATCTATTTCGTCAAGATTTGGAAACAAACAGCTAAATCATCAAGACTCCAAAGTGTTACCGAGAGCAAACGAGAAGACTTCACGAACAGGAGACAACTCAACCAGACCAATTTCCATGCTGTACCCATTGACGGGGAGCTTCAAATCCCTCAACACCGAGAATGCCTCCGCCATTCGCGTCTTCGGCACTTCCAGAGCCACGGGACAGAATGGAATCCATGAATCGGCGCGATATTCCTCGCTAATCTCGACACCTTCTTTCCTCATCGCGTCGCATAGCTGAGCCTGCAACTGAAGCAGCGAAAGAGACGGTGTCGGCGAGAGGAACAGCACGTTGTTGTCGCAAGGGAAGCTGCCGATGGAGGAGAACGAGAGCGAGAGGGGTTCCTGCTTCGAAGCGAAGACCTTGATGACGGATTCGAGCTTCGATGAATCGACGACGGCGGTCGAGAAGAGGGTTATGTGAGGGCGAGACTCGGTGTCGATCAGTTTCGTGCTGATTTGTCGGCGGGCGAAGACGTTCCAAGCTTTCAGGACCTGGTTCTCGAGCGCCGGGTCGAAGTACAGCTCGATTGCGTAGCCTCCCGACATCTGATTGCCCAGAAATCAAAAATCGTGGGAAGAAATCAAGAACGACGCAAGATCGGAGACAGAGATCTGGGAGTTACCCAGATGAGGAAAAGCGTTTGCTTGGCGAATTGCAAGAACCCTAGAGGATGGGAGACGGGGAAAAACGTGAAATTGGGGGCGACCCAAGTAAGATTTCGTGGTGAATCAGTCGGGGAAGAAACAGCGAGGAAAGGAAAGAAAAATGCAGAGCTGAATCGAGAGGAGGGAGGAAGTGTAACGCCGAACGCTGAAAAAGGGAAAGCGAAATGGCCAAAATCACCGAAATGAACAGAAAAATCTAAACAATGAATATTAATATTTTTAGATTACGCTTTAAAATAATCCGGATTTTGATTCTCTCTAATTTTGGATTTCTTAAATTATATTTAATGAAGATTTTCCAGAATTAATTTTGGATTTCTTGAAATTGATATATCAGAATTCATTCCTACGTAGGTGGTGATATAAGTCCAATAATTTAGGTGAATGGATTCTAAATTTTAAAGTTCGATTATGAATATATGAAATTTGAATATTTGATTTTCTTATGTCTTATTGTTATCCCAAAAGCTTTTCATAGAGACGTCGTCAATAAAATGAAATATCACTATTAGGACAAAACAACATAATATCCTCTCTAAGCACGTGGGATTATCCAAACCAAATGATCAACGTCTAATTTATCTGAGCCCAATCTTTAATTAAGCCCAGTATTTCAATTTATGGGCCATATGTAGGCCCATTTCCTCTCCGACCCGACCCGTACCAAAACTGGGATCATTCTCACGCCCTTCAATTTAAAACCCTACCCGCTGTCCGAAGAATGTTCTGGAAATTTGAAGTGCGCGGAGAGGTTATATAGTTTTCACGGTACGAATTTCATGTTTGTTGGAAGCTACTCGATTTGAAAAATGAGGATTTCTCGCAAGAGAGGCCAGAAGAAGAAAAAGTCCGATGCTTCTCCGTCCGCCACCGCCATCGCCGGCGATGTTGAGGATGACCGAGTTTCTGGGTCGGCTTCAGCAGCCCAGCTCAACGAAACAGTGTCAGCTCCTTCCCCTGAACCCACCTCGTCCACCGGAAAAAACCCATCTCCGCCGCGACGTGGACGTGGACGGCCGAAGAAGCGTAGAATCAGCAGCCAACCGGAGCCGACTGAGCTCGCCGGAAACATCCGGATGTCGTCGCCGGAACGGAGAGGGAGGCACCATCACGCGGACGAGAACGGCGATTGCAATAACGGGGTTTTGTCGGCGGCGGAGCTGATGGCGACGGGTTCGACGCTGCCAATTCCGGCGGCGCCGCGGTGGGAGACGGTGGTGAAGGTTGTGCCCTCCATGGACGCGGTGGTGAAAGTGTTCTGTGTCCACACTGAGCCTAACTTCTCCCTGCCATGGCAGCGGAAGCGCCAGTATAGCTCTGGCAGTAGCGGTTTCATCATCAGTGGAAGAAGGGTTTTGACGAATGCGCACTCTGTGGAACATCACACGCAAGTGAAGCTCAAGAAGCGTGGTTCTGATACAAAGTACCTGGCGACAGTCTTAGCCATTGGAACTGAATGTGACATTGGTATGTATATCTTTCTCCGGTTTCTTCCATCAGTTTCTTCTGGTTTTAGACTGTTGGGTGGTGTGCTCCGAGTGACATGTAGGAAGTCAGAACTTGCCGGATTACTTTATATGACACACATGAAGTTATGAAACTGAAAAGCATCATCTTTGATCAAGCCTTACCTTGTTATGTTTACGACAAGTTGACCTGGTAAAAGCCGAAATCGGAAGTTAAATTGTTTATGGGCATGGAATTGTAATGTAATTTTAACTCTTGTCTTTCATTTGGTTACAGCTCTGTTAACTGTTAGCGATGATGAGTTCTGGGAAGGAGTTTCCCCTGTGGAGTTTGGAGATTTGCCCGCTTTGCAAGATGCCGTAACTGTTGTTGGTTATCCGATTGGCGGCGACACGATCTCTGTCACAAGTGGCGTTGTTTCGCGTATGGAGATATTGTCTTATGTACATGGATCGACAGAGCTTTTGGGTCTTCAGATAGATGCAGCTATAAACTCTGGAAACTCTGGTGGGCCGGCGTTTAACGATAAGGGAAAATGCGTTGGCATAGCTTTCCAGTCCTTGAAGCATGAGGATGCTGAAAATATCGGTTACGTCATACCCACACCAGTTATTGTCCATTTCATTCAAGATTATGAGAGGAATGGGAAATATACAGGTCTGTCCCATGATATAGTTGTTTTGATCTGTTCTTTAGGTTTTTACCCTTGTTTTGATCATACACATAACTGGTGTTGTTTTAGGTTTTCCTGTTCTTGGAGTTGAGTGGCAGAAGATGGAAAACCCCGACCTGCGCAAGTCAATGGGTATGGAGGCTCATCAAAAAGGGGTGCGGATAAAAAGAATTGAGCCGACTGCCCCCGAATCTCAGGTTTTGAGGCCATCCGATGTTATCCTTAGTTTTGACGGAGTTAATATCGCTAATGATGGAACTGGTAATAGTTCTTACGGTTGCTTGTTTCGGATTTTAATCTGTGTCCTAAGTATTTATTCATGGATTGAAAGAGGATTGTCCTTTTATGTTTTTTCCTTCCTGTTAGACTAAATATCCTCCGCTAATCCTCTGTTCTTCTCTTGCTTTCAGTTCCGTTCAGGCATGGTGAACGAATTGGGTTTAGCTATCTCATCTCTCAAAAATACACGGGAGATTTCGCCATTGTGAAAGTTCTTCGCAACAAACAAATACTTGAGTTCAAGATAAGACTTGCAGCCCACAAGAGGCTCATCCCGGCTCACGTAAACGGCAAACCTCCTTACTACATCATTGCCGGTTTTGTCTTCACAACTGTCTCTGTTCCATATCTCCGATCTGAGGTTCTCTCGCTCTCTCTATTTCTTTATCTCATGACCTTCTTCCATACATGTAATCTATTGTCTGTTAACCATTTTCCAAAACATTTTCCAGTATGGGAAGGAGTATGAATTCGATGCACCGGTCAAGCTGTTGGAAAAGCACCTTCATGCAATGGCTCAGACTGTGGATGAACAGCTTGTTGTTGTTTCACAGGTTGGGTTGTCTCTGTCTTTCTGTATCCTTGTACAGCTTAGATTATATTAACTTTACTGACCCATGTCCTGTCATTTCTAAATCTTGCAGGTACTTGTGTCTGATATTAACATCGGTTATGAAGAGATTGTCAACACCCAGGTTTGTAGATGCATCATTCATTATCATTGTAGTTTTTTTTTGTACTGTGATGATGCATCAGTCTATTGCTTATCACTGTGTAGGCTCTTGCGTTCAATGGGAAACCTGTCAAAAACCTGAAAAGCTTGGCTGAGATGGTAGAAAACTGTAATGACGAATATTTGAAGTTCGAATTAGAATATGACCAGGTATGTGTCCCTTTCCCCTTTCCCCTCATAGGGCTGCATGATAACTATTACTATAACTCTTGTCCTTTTTGTCAACATGGGTGGTTGGTTTTGATCTGGTTTAGAACTGTTCGGTTCCCATCGGGATGCATGGTCATGGTGCATATGTGATGTGCATGTACATGTTCGAATGGTGTTGATGCAAGAACCCTAATTCAGAGATTTAAACTAAGCTCTGTGAATTTGGATAAAATGCAGATTGTAGTTCTTAACACCAAGACAGCAAAGGAGGCAACTTTGGATATTCTAACGATGCATTGCATACCTTCTGCAATGTCTGATGATCTCAAGACATAGACACAGAAACAAACAAACAAACAAAAAAAGTCGGCGCCATGTTCTTTGGAAAAGCACGAAAAACAGAACTGCCTTCTCCGGATACTTGGGAAGAGAGAGATGGTCCATCCATGGTTCCTTGATGTTTTCTGGGGCGCACCATGGGATCATGGACATGAGCCCATGTAAACACACACACACGTTCTCGGGGAGCTCATCCAACTGAATATTTTCACATAATGTTTATGTTTCTGTTGTCTTTATCTTTGGCCTCCCAAGTACATGCATGGAGAGAAACGAAATGGATCCTAAATTAAATGATTCTAAATTAAACGAAGTAAAAAAATATGTTTTACAATAAATTAATCTAAATCTAAATTAAAGAAATATAAAAGTATTCCAATAAAGATAAAACTTTGTTTAAAAGTTACGTATTTTTTTGTTATCAAATTTGAAATCAAACTATGCAAGGCAACGTGTAATGCAGTAGGAACTAGGGATGTAAAACGAGCCGCGAATCGCGGGCCGGCTCATGAGTCGGCTCATATTTTTCTGGGTTGGGCTCAAAATATTTGAGTCCACAAAAAACCGGGTCAAACGAGCCAGCCCATCACGAGTCGTGCTGGCTCGCGGGCCAAAAAAATTTTTTTTTTTTTATATTTTTTCCCATATTACAAATGGGCCACGTAAATTAATGGGCTTCATAACATGACCTATGTATATAAAAATTAGGGGTGTAAAACGAGTTGCGGATCGCAGGCCGGCTCGTAAATCGACCCATATTTTTCCGAACTGGACTAAAAAAAATTAAATTTTTTTAATATTTTTATATATTTTAAAATATTTTTATATACAAATTATATTTTTTTATTACATATTTAGTTTGTTTTTGTTTAAAATTTTATTTTTTTATTATATTTTAAATATTTTTAAAATATGAAAATTAGTTTTAAATATTTTTAGTATTAAAATTTTGTTTTTAAAAATTATATATTTGACTCGCGGGCCGGCTCGTTTGGCTCACGGGCTAAGACGATATGGGTTGGGCTGATATATTTATGGCTCGCTATAAAACGGGTCGGACTGGACTGGACTAAATTTTTTTCAGATCGGAACGAGCCGGACTGGGCTGAGCCGGGCCGGCCCGTTTTACACCCCTAGTAGGAACTGGGCAACCATGCGACCGTACTAATCTTCATATTACGGTTCGGCTAAACCAAACCGGCCCAGTGACGAAAATATTGGGTTACCTAAATGGGCCTAATATTGACCCATGTAAGCCCGATCTTTGCAACTGTATTATTGGTCTTCATATTACTAAATTAAAGGGATAAAATTGAGCTAAGTGGGCCCAATATCGGCCCATATACGGCCCAAAAATTGCAACCGTAATTTTTGTCTTCATATATGTTTGACCATCTGACACACACGCGCTCAAGTGTGCGCGTGGGCCCAAACGTAAAGTTTCCGTTTTTGTTTTTTCCTTTTCCTTTTTTGTTTGTTTTCCAACTTTGCCTCGCACTTCGAAAAATTACAACATCACTGCCATTTTCTTCGGGTTCTTCCACCATAAAAGCTCGAGAAAAGAAGAGAGAGAGAGAGAGACCCTTCCTTAGATCTCTTCGTCTGGAAATCTGACAGAGAAAAAGCCTGTCGGATTAGGGTTTTGTGTCCAAGCTTCAGCGGCATCTGCAACGAAATACTTCGAGAACTTGGTTTAGGTGAGTTATCAAACCACTGTTTCCCCATGTCGGTGTTGTTTTTGTCATTGCAAGATCAGTGACTTGAAGCCGTTCGTGGTGTTTGGATCTTTATAGCTAGGAGGCTGGAGTGATTGAAATCTCGAGTTTTTGGGCCTTGGGGCTCTGAAAATGAATCTGGATTTATGCTTGGATTGTGTTCTGTATATTGCCTCATAGAAACTCGAAGCTTGGTGAATCGGTGTCGTTTCTTACATGGTTTCTGAATTATGTTGGAAGGGAAACAGAGTTTACGGTTTCTCGAGAATACCCAACTGAAGATGTCTTGGGTTGGGTTCGAAATTCAGCGAAAAGATGGTAACTTTGCTTACCCACCTGCGTTTTCACCTCCTTTGTACAAAGAGCCAAACCCTTCAACATCATCATCTCCATCGTCGGCATCTGGTAATAAAATCAGCCCAGCTGTTCTTTTCGTCATAGTGATTTTAGCTGTGTTGTTCTTCATATCTGGGCTGCTTCACCTGCTTGTTAGATTTCTCATAAAGCAACCTTCAGCATCTTCAAGGTCCAATAGGTACCCAGAGATCTCTACCTCTGACACTCTTCAGAGGCAGCTTCAACAGCTTTTCCATCTCAATGATTCGGGTCTCGATCAAGCGTTCATAGACGCTCTTAACTCATGCTTTTCCCGGAGGGAATCGTATAAAGATTTGAGAAGATCGTACTGTTTTTCGATCTGCTTTACCTTCGAACGAGCTCTTCGATTTTGGACCCAGCCAGCCACTTGACGAGGCGGCAAACCCAGATTCTTCGCCAGCTGACTCTTCCTCAGCGGCTCTAGTTTGTTCTCTTCTTGGAAGTTCTGCTCTTCCCGTGTTTCAGTACAAAGAGATATTGGGTGCCCAAGAGCCTTTCGACTGTGCTGTTTGTCTCTGTGAATTCTCTGAAAAGGATAAGCTGAGGTTACTGCCAATGTGCAGCCATGCCTTTCATATAAACTGTATAGATACTTGGCTGCAGTCCAATTCAACATGCCCTCTTTGTCGAGGCACACTCTTTACTCCCGGGTTTTCAATGGAGAACCCCATCTTTGATTTCGACGACATAAGAGAAGACGAGGAATGTGTGATCAGGAACGGCGAAAATGGTAGCCAGAAAACTGTGGAAATCCAGGAAATAGTTGTCGAAAAGGGGGTTTTACCGGTGAGATTGGGGAAATTCAAGAGGCTAGGTGGTGGCTCGGGTGAAGCTGCTGCCGGAGGAGAGACTAGTAGCAGCAACTTGGATGCAAGGAGATGTTTCTCAATGGGTTCGTATCAGTATGTGCTCGGCAACTCAGAGCTGAAAGTTCCTCTGTGCAACGACAGACGGGATCTTCCCAACTCGAAACCTCAAGACAAAGATTCTGAACAGACGGCGAATTCATCGGCTAGCGGAGACTCGGAGGGAAAGAAGATCAATAGCATGGCAAAGGGCGAGAGCTTCTCGGTTTCAAAGATCTGGTTGTGGTCAAAGAAAGATAAATTATCATCGAATGCTCAGACAAGGTTGCCTTCTTCGCTTAACGTTGATCTGCAAGATCTGCCATGGATGGAAGAGCACAAGAAGAAGAACAACAGCTAAAGGTAGTTCCTTTTTTGCTATCATTGTGCATCAGAAGAACAAAAAAACCCCATTGAAACAAATCAATGTTAAGGTTCTCTGAGCATATTTTTGAGATTACAATCATCAGTTGTAAACATATTGTCAAAAGCTTATATTTTTCTTATGGTTTTCATTTTGGGCAAACAGTAAGAACTGAACTTCAATTGCATAGTTAATAGAAGATCAAAAGGCAAAGGCTTTTGCTTTATTAATGCCCCTCTGCTTTCCTTCACTTTAGAGTCATCTGCTTCTCTCTTTTCCCAACTTTTTCTCCGTATACTTCGCTTTCTCTCCCAACATTGTCACGTATCCAGCACCGACGATTAAAGCGTAATTAGTGCAAAATCGAATGAGTGGAGTCAGTCAGTCCAAACATCTGGATAAATAGTCTAAATCCTGGCAGAAGAAAAAAAATATAAATTAAAATCAAAATCTAGGTAACCATTATATAATCTCATCTCTCAACCAAATATATGATTGGTCGATATTTTATAAAAGATTTACGAGTAACATTTTCCCGTGAGTTTTATCCATATGGCTTGGATTGTTGGTTGGTGTTTTATAAAATGAGATTTATAAACCTGTCTTTGCAAGAGGATCAAGACATGGAGACCATTGTCTTGTGGAGAGACGGAATCCGGTCTTGGTTAAGGAGTACTTGTCATGGTCGGTAAGTTAACGACAAATGATGACCACTTAAAAACAGTTTTTGGCTCTTTTGATTTGGTTTGACAACTACCAAAAAAAAAAAATCTTTGATCTTCGGTTCTAAAGACTTTGGCTCTAGTGGCCACATGGGCAAGTGGGTGGTGCCAATTGGCTCTCTTTCCACGTGACTTTTGCTCGACACACTGCTCCCACTAGATTTTAGACATTTGCACTACAGAGTTGGATAATTTAGAAAACTTGGAGAGTCTCTAATGGAACATCCATGTCCATAGTGTAATAATTTTGCCATTATTGGTTCCCCGTGTTGTTACACCCATCTTATATCCTATTGAGTTCATACCACTATGGAATAGACCCCCAAGTGAAACCTAAGAACGAAGTCTCTGTTATTTACCAGAGTGGCTGTGAAATCGACTGCCAAACCCACCAGTCGAAGGGTTCATCGTTCGTTTGTTGTTCTGCCGCCATAAATACGTCTGAGAAGTTATCCTCATCGTCAGCGGCTGGGTTTAGAGCCGCACTAGAGCTCATGGTCTCGTCGGGTTTCTCTTCAGGGTCGTTAGGAAAACTTCTCGCATTTTGGTTATTCGTGGGCTGTGAATCGATTCCACTGGCTTGAAGCTTCTCTGTCAAGGTCAGGACCTGAAGAAAAGTTCTAAGCCCATTAATCACCCGATTCTGTGCACAGGAAACAGTAAAAGGATCGTGTTTGGATGTCTTGAGATGATTTGTTAATTCGAGTAGAATTCAAAGTGTTGTCAGAGGTTGCCGTTACCTCGGCTTTAAGCTTCTCGTTCGCCTCGAGAACCAACTCATGCTTTTCCCGGAGGGAATCGTATAAAGATTTGAGAAGATCGTACTGTTTTTCGATCTGCTTTACCTTCGAACGAGCTCTTCGATTTTGGAACCAGACAGCCACTTGACGAGGCGGCAAACCCAGATTCTTCGCCAGCTGACTCTTCCTCAGCGGCTCTAGTTTGTTCTCTTCTTGGAAGTTCTTCTCCAGCAAATTCACCTATGCCGGAACCGAATTCAGTACAAGTGTTAAACAACATAGATTTTCATTTCGACAACGTCAATACCTAACCTGTTCAGCAGTCAAGCGATGCTTTCTCTCGTACGCGCTATGATCGCAGTATTTCCGATTGAATGAATGTCCTGAGATTGTGGAGAAACCTCTCTTTGAAGATTCATCCATGTCCATGACCGTCGAATATCCTATCGGAGATTTACAAGCTTTGTCACCATCGATACTGAATTCAGACGTTGTTGGTTAAATCAATGCGAACTACAGTACTAAGAAATTTCGAATTTCAACACGACACGGCACAAACAGAGAGGAGCAAGGGTAAAACAGATCACCTGGAAGAATCAGACTGAGATTCTCAGGGGAATGCAAATTTACACGAGATCCTGATCGATCAACGGAAAGCCAGCCTGAATCCATTTCTCCGCCTCTAGTCGTCGCAACGCGGCCGATTTCACTTCTCGTGACGGCGAGGACGTAGAAAGAAGAACTGAATTCGAAACACTTGACACTGAAATAGATTTTACCGATTAGAAAATCATGAGTTTGTGGCGGAAGAAGCTCGTCGTCCACAACAATCTCGCCGGAGTTATCGACGGAGAGAAGCAGAATCCCATCACTAAAAAGATGAAAAACACAAACGCACACAAACAAAAGAAGGGAAAATAATCGAAATCTCAGATCGAATCCAACAGTGAATTGATTTCAATTTTGAAACTCCGCCTCGGAAATTCCATCTGAAACTCTCAGATCGAATGTTTCCACACACAAAAAAATTCCGATTTCCGTTTCTCCGGTGATGCGAGTAAATCTGGGCAGGTAAAGTTGAAGTGTTGGAGTTCCGCGGGAATTTATAAGCGTTCGTGAAATGACAGATTTGTCCTTCACACGGTTCTTGAAATGACAGATTTGTCCTTCACATGGGATTTTAATAGCCAAGCAAGTGTGTCTGAATCAAGGAATAGCACAAAACATAAAAGCCTCCCTGATAAGAGAAGAAGAATATTTTTTTTTATATGTGCAGAGATATATGTTCGCTCCTCTCTTACATCAACATCAGTTAGTCAACCAAACGTGTTAGAACTAGATAATGCCGAATAATATTCTGCGAATAAAAAAGAAAAAAAAAAATATGCGTGATCCATGATTAAAAGGTAAAAAAAGTTTTTTTTTTTTGAGATCATGGGTTCAATTTTATTAATGGGGAAGAGTGAGTGCAATTAATTGCGTGACTAAAATCTACTTTTGGCCTCAGAGAATTAAGTAAGGTCCAATGAAATTTCTCATTACAAAAAAATAGATAACTATTAGATTATTATATTGAATTCCATCTGGTTTAGTTCGGTATATTTGGTTCGGTTTCGATGGACAAAATATTTATTTTTTTAAGGGTTATTCATTGATTTATTTGGTTTGGCTCGAGATCGAATACGATTTTTTCAGTTTTAGAGAAATTATAACCATTGGATTTTACATCAAATTTGATTCGACTATGATTATGTATTTTTTTGGGTTGGGATAGAATAGGTTATTCGTTATTAAAGCTAAAACTGGTAGTTAAATAAATTGACAAATGGGGGAATTAAAACGTCTTAATTTACTGGATTGGATTGTAAGTTAACTGGGCTGTACAGAAATATCTATAATGGGCCGCCCAATTAGAAACAAAGAAAGTCGGCCCGTAAGGTGGATTAGTCATATTACCAATATTATTTAATTACCGAATTTGTCCAACAGATTTGTCTTCCCACGTGGCAAAATATCATTCGATAACGCCGAACTACAAACCCGGCGAAAACTGCTTGCCGTTTCTGCATGTGCTTGTTGTGAGCCGCGCTGTTAATGGTAGATCCGTAATTGTGGCAAAACACAAGACTGATTAGATGAAGGCAGAATTAACGGCGCACAACAGCGTGGGCGTATAATAACAGAATATTCATAAAAAAAAAATATTTAAAAATTCAAATACCCAGAAAGGATAGTAGCATATCATGTTTATATATATTTGGGTTTGAAAATTGATGGATGATGATGACAGAGAAACATCATACTGCTGGTGTTACTAGAGATCATGGCAGTGGCAGCGGTGGGGGCCATACCATAACGCTTTTTGCCTTTCAGACCACATTCTCCAAGCAAACCTTTGTATAGGTGTCATATGCGACGCCTTCAACATCGCTATGTATGGATCCCCCTGCTTAGCCATCGTCATATCCCCCCTCGTCGTCCTACCGGAGATCTACTCCGAAGGTTAAGGAGATGCCGAGAAGCCCTGGGGCCGTGGCCGACCGCGGTTAGGGTCTAATCATATGATAGCTAGACTCGTACGTCTGGTTTTATATTTCCTACCTTCACTTAGTTCTCCTTCTGCTATGTTCCTCGCCGGCATGCATATTGTGAATCCGGTGGCTTTCAGAGTTTTAACAGAGTGTAGCCTTTACCTAATTTTGGGGTTTTCTGATCGCTTTAAAACAATGGGTTTAGAAACCTAATAAACTGAAAGTTTCAAAAGGCCTTTAAACGATGGAAAATGAACTTTATTCCAAATCATACATACATATATGTAAATATATTCATAACCTCGGATATCGACAGGCTTCTCGGGTCGGGTTAGGCAGGTCGGATAATGACCCGTTAAGGATCCGGTTTGCGACCCACATGTTTGCGGTTTCGGTCAAGTGGATGCCATCCCAACTTATGTAACTTGCGGGGTTTTTACATGAAATACTAAAAAGTTCAGTCCCGTTTTGTAATATCGTCTTTCCACATCCCATTCCTCGACCGATTGCCCCAACGCAACAATAATCAAACGGATCCGCAAAACCTGCCATGAATTCATGCCATTATACCAGAAAATCCGTGAGACGGTTTATTAAAAACCAAAAAAAAAATCCGGTTTAGGATCTCGGTATGGGTCAAGAATCCGGTTTAAGATGATTGATCAATGCTTACCAAGACTCTTTGCTTTACTGATCAATGTATATTTAGCTGAGTAGACATCAACGTAAGTGAAGACAGCATAAGTAAGTTGTTTCTTCAACTCGGAGATTCTGTTCTTGAGTTGTCTATTGAATTCAATCGCACCATTGTTCAAAGGCTTCACACAACCGTATCGATCCCGAGGCGTATCGGGAAAAGATTTGAGAACATACGGTAAACATCCTGCCGGTCCAGTGTTGTGGATCCAAAAGTATCTTGCCCCTTCTTTGTAGAGTATCTGCAAAGTTTTCAATGATTTTGTCAAGGGTTTAGTAATGTTTATAGATTAAACAACAGTTTCGTCGTTTACTTGTATTGCGTTGGTGAAATTTCCGATGATTTCGGGTATCGATGCTTTGAGTTGTTCCTCCGTTGAGTTAGTAAAACCGATCGTGATATCGTTTTGGCCGATATCAAACGTGTATAGAGCTTTTGAGAAGTCATTGGGACGTGCAAGGACGTTTTTGCACAATGGGGTTTTTCCTGGGCACAAATTGAAATTTGAAAAACATTTAGGCTAGAACCGAAAAAGCCGGTTTGGTAATGATTGAACCGGGTTTAACATTACGCACCATTGGTTCGGCTGTATAGAGATATGGTACGAGTCTTGAAGTGAAGAAATTGTACAACTTGAGTACCGAGATGGAAAGGGCTAAAACAACCGCCGCTCGGGCGAATGCAGGCACCGCCCGTCGCGAAATTAGCACCGTACCGATAGTAAGCCCCGACCGAATCCAAGTACGGCGTGAGATACGGCAATGTAAGATTCTCGGCTGCGAAATCATCCGATATAAAATTCATACATAACCATAAGAATTGATATATATATTGAAATCGGAAACAATTTTTCCTTGTGTTATAAAATCGGAAAAATATAATCAAACTAACTCGAACCAAACTCTAACCAAATCAAAGTAGAGAAAAATTTAACCAAAACCTTAACTAAATCGAATTAAAATGATATTATTGAAATATAACTAAAGAAACATTGAAATCGAAAAAAAAAATGATACAACTAAAATAAATGGAAACAAACAAGAATTGATATGTTAAAATTGAAAAAAAAAATGTAAGCGAACCCTAATCAAACCGAATCAAATTAAACCAAAATGGTATAATTGAAATGTACCAAATGAAACATTACTTACAGATGAAATCAATGATGAGTCGGCCATCGGAATGTCTTCCTGCGGATCTGCCGAAGAAGGCTACACCATTCGGAGGAGGAACCTCTCCAATGGCTGCCGAAATCGCTCCGGTATCCGAATTCGAATCTCCGAAATTATATACGGCCGGAAAATCGCATTTCTTGTTAGTTCTAATCCTCGATGAAGCCGATGTTATGATCACCATTAAACTTGAAATCAAAACTATAATCATAAAACGTGATTTCCGAGATTCCATCTTTGTACAAATATAGATACATTTTTTGTTCGAGCAAGTACTCTCTTATTTATAACGAAGTCGGTCCACGGCATGATATTATATATAATCTTTCTATAGATTATAATAAGGGAATAGGTTTATCAGTATAACATGGCAAGTAGATAAGTATATCAGTTTACTCCTTTTTCTATAATTTTCCAAGCCAGTTGTAATGGACCCGTAGAGAGCGAGCTGGGAGAGGCCGAAGAGGAATCCCGAGGTTTGGCTGCGTCTTAGGCTTCTTTTCTGAGGGACAAGAAGCTCGTGACTGAACAAAGAAAGGATTTTGTCCTGAGCATTGAAGGCTGCAACCGTCCTAATGTTGCTGACTCCTTCACCGGCTATCATCGAAGTCTTTGCATGAGCCCTCTTCCTCTCCTCTGCATCACATGGGTATGTATATTATATATAGGCATATACGTCCATATATACATATTTAGTACAAATACACACACGGTAGAGTTATGTGTGTATATATATACATATATGTATACAGAAATGGGTCTACAACCGTAGATGCTGGGCTGAGGAAACACTATCTATACTCGAAATCAAACCGATACGGGGCTTAAATTCGGTTTGGCTGTCCGGTTTAGAATATTTTTTGAACCGGATGACATTTCCGGTTAAGTACCTTAAAAGATTTCGTTCAGGCAAGCTGATTCTCAATATGGATTGGAGGCCCACTCAAAGTCCATCATACGCACGCACGACCCGTCATAGAGGTCTCTCTCGTACTCAATGCGCACATATGCCGCGTACGCATAATGCATGCATATAATCTTTTTAAATACAAAAAATCGAAAGAAAAAAAATATATCAATAACTTTCGTTTGTCATCCATTAATGACCATGGTATATTTACAATCATTTAGTAGTATTAAATAAATGATTATCCACAATGTAATAATTCTCTTATATTTGGTATCTCCACTGCAAAAAAAACATGTCATTAACAACGAAATTAGCAACGAAATGCATTTCGTTGCAAAGTTAACAATGAAATTGCAACGTTTTTTAATGAAAACGATTTTGCAATGCTTTAGCAACGAAATTTTTCGTTGCAAATTTGCAACGCAATTTTTCGTTGCGAAGCGTTGCAAAATCGTTGCAAAAATCATTGCAAAATTTTTTATTGCAATTAGCAACGCTTTGCAACGCAATAATTTCGTTGTTAATTTGCAACGCAATATTTGCGTTGCAAAATCGTTTCAAAATTATTTCTTTGAAATCAACAACGATTAATAACGAATTTCCTTTTGCAACGTTTTGCAACGAAATAATTTCGTTGCAAAAATTATTATTTAATAATTAATATGATTTGACCGTAAAAAAATAAATATATAAATTTGCAACGCAATTTCGTTGCTATTTGGTTTTGCAACGTAATTTCGTTGCAATTTTGCAACAAAATTACGTTGCAAATCCAATTAGCAACGAAATTGCGTTACAAATTTTAAATAAATTTGTGGCTGCGATTAATTATGGTTTTCACGCCTTTTGCAACGAATTTTCATTGCTAATTGGATTTGCAACGCAATTTCGTTGCAATTGCAACGTTTTTCTTTATATTCAACATCCAAACACATTCCAAACACAATTCATCAACAATTTCTCACTCTAAAAATTATCTAAAACCTCTCTCTATCTCCAACTCTTTAAAAAATCAAATAAAAATATATTTATTATTTTTATTAAATATTTATTTTATTATTTTGTTAATTATTTATTTATAAACATTAATTTATAACTTTTAAATAAACTTTATAATTCTACAAATATATATATATATATATATATATATATTTATTATCTTTATTTAATATCTATATTATTTTTATTTAATATTTATATTTTATTAATATTTTTTTAATTAATTATTTTTTAAATTTTAATTTAATTCTTCTAAAAAAACCCGAAATTCTAAATTATTTTTTTTATTTTTATATTAAATTTAGCAACGAAATTGCGTTGCTAATTTTGCAACGCAATTTCGTTGCAAAATTAGCAACTCATTTTTTTCATTGCAAAACGTTGCAATTTGCAACGAATTGAAACGCTATATTGGTTTACAACGACGAGTTAGCAACGAAAATTTTTTCGTTGCAATTTCGTTGCAAACACTGTTTTGCAACGAAATTTGTAGGTTTGCAACGAAAAATTTTCGTTGCTAAATGACTGTTTTTTTGTAGTACTCGTAACGATAATTTTTATTTTTCAGACCTAAGAGATCTAGAAATTAATCGCACCGAAAAATCCAAATATAAAAACAAAAGTCGGTTTGCAAAATTTACCCTTTCGTGGACAAGATAGTTGCGTCCTCGAGGACCCATCTCATTGAAATTATATAAAAACAAGTTGCGTCGTGGTCAATCTCAATATATAAACTATACATAAAGCCCCAAATAAATACACACACACACATATATATATATATATATACACACCATGAAATGACAGAAGAGAATTTTCAAAAAAAATTATAAATAAATTAAAAAAGTTCAAAGAGGACAAGGACAGAGATATCGAGTGCATGGAGACATAATATGGAGATGTCAGAAAGGGGGACGTCCTTATGAAACAGTAAACATATCTCAATAGTCTCTCTCCCATCGACCTCCATCATCATTATCACTATCTGCATGCCCCATCAGTACACAGTGCTTTAGTCATATACTTACATATATACATACACACACACGCGCATATACCATGCATGCATGCATGCATGTGTGTGCGCAAACACCCGGAAATCTAAGAACGCTTGAACACATAAGATCCAAAGCATGCAATGTTTTGCCATCCTTTAAGGTTTTCTTAATCAATCTTTCATGTTTTTCTTGTTCACTATTTTGTAGTTCTTGAGAATTATAGAGTGTGTGTGTATATATATAGTAGATAATTTTCTTATTTTTATAAAAAAAAGGTTTCTAATATTATTATTGATAACTGAATAAATTAAAATAGATCATGTCATATATCAATAGAATGTACAAAAACATTTGATCAATCAAAATATAAGATATTTTTTATATTATGGTATACTGATTTATCATACCCATCAATTCACCGTATCGATTTTCTAATAAATCAAATTTTAACTTGTTAGTGACAGTTTAACAAAAAAAAAAACTTGTTAGTGACATTTCAAATACAAAGATGTCACTCATGCATGCTATCAAACATATATAAGATGCTCATAGTAGCACTACTCTCCCGAAATCGATTGACATAATATTTGTATCACGCCCTTCTTTGTTACTTAGCGAATCATGATGACAACCATATATTATATTATGTTATATAGGTTACCTATATATATATATATATATATATATATATATATATATATATGCAGACATAGCAGAGTGGGACATGAAACTCTTTACCAATGCTAATTCATATTCAAAAGCATATTCTTAAAATCTTGTTGTGATAATAATTACATTAACGTTTGGCATCAATTTCATAAATCAATTCAGCTTTTCTGCAACCTTTGTTCTTTTTTTTCCCCCTAATTTAAAAATGATTCGTGTGCCTTGGTCCAATCTAGACTGTATTCCACTAAAAAAAATGAAATTATATCGAAACCTTAAACTTATTTGAAAACATTTATAAAATCTCTTTAATATGTCACACGATATGACAAGGTAATCAGCAGTATTAATGATAGTAATTGATTAGTAAAATATGAAGGATGTTATTTGTATTTTTGAAAATAATTCAAAAATATTAAATGTTAAATTTTGTCATAAATATATATATATATATATATATATATATATATATATATATA